GTTTTGATCACGCATTATGAACTATAAACAATCAGGTCAAATATGAATATTCGTTTGATTTTTATACTTGATTTATATGTGGATCCCACATTTCTCCCTTTATTATTATTATTATTTTTATTTTTAATAAAATGCTGAAGTGGTAGGTAGATGCAAGATAAAGGTAGAAAACATAGTTTAGTGCTGTAAGAGGGCAAATGTAGATGATCAGGTGTGTGCCTGTAGACTATGTGCTAATCCGAGCTAGACAAGGGCATTAAAACATTGGACAGGATTTTTTTTATAGGTCTCTTCCAGTTTTTAACAGGATAGGATTCTGCTTTTGCATTTAATAGGCTCGTGTTGAAAATGTTCCTTAGGCTACAAGAATTCCAGCCAGGTAACTGTGTGTTGTATGCTGGGAGGGTGCAGCCGGACAGAAGTGTCACCTTGGTGTTGCAAGTACACAAACACACCAGCAATGCTTTTCCTTTAGCTATTTCTCCAAAAGTAAAACTTTATACTATGTGTCTGGTCTCCTTTTAGACAAAATGACTTTTTTAATTATGTACTTATTTAATATCCACTTGAGAAAAATTTCTAGATAATCACAACCCACTAATGTCTTCCTTTTAAAAAAAAATCAACTGCATATGAAATCACTAAGTCAAAACACTCACTGCATATTGCTGTCATTCTGTAATATTTGGAGAAAACCACCTAAATAATACTCTCTAATCCATGGCTAACAGAGATTCCTTAAAGCCCTTTTAAGACATTAAATCACCCAAGACCCTGCTTCTCTGCAAGCAGATGGTCTGTAAACTTGAAGAAAGTGATTTAAAATGAAATCCTGGGTTCAGCTTACCTTCAGAGGCAAAACACAAGGCAGCTTGGCAAAAAACGTCTGAAACTGGTTGCTAATTGTGGTCCAGAGGCTACTAGGAGAATCCATGGGCAAAGCTTCCATGAAGGTGGCAATGTTTTCCAAACAGCGTATCATAGCACCCCCTGCTGGTAAATTCTTTTTGTTATTTAGACCCTAAAAACACAAAAGCATAGGCAATCAACTGCTGAAACAGCATGGGAATTCATACAGCTATTTGGTGAAGATGACCCTTTAAAAATCACATATTCACGCTAAAAAAAAACGTGTTATGTGTCTACCATTTAGGTCACATTGTAATTGGCAGAAGGAGTACAAAGAAAAATCAACAAATTCAGACAAACAGGTGGGAAACTTGTGATCTTTGACTCTGAGAGAAGCTAAAATGTGAGCAAGAAATAAGAAACATTTAAGGATCTACAACTGGCAGGGTTGGATGCTAAGAAGACACATTGCTGATTCTTGCTGGAAACTTTACGGGCCAAAAACAGACTTCAGGATACATGAGCAACAACAGAGTCCGCGACAATCCGTCACCCAGCCCAGCTAATTGAGAAAGCTAATAAGGAGAGGTGGGGAGACAAGAAACGGCCTGGCGATATGATTAAGAAGTGAAGCTAAGAACTGACTTAAGGCCTCGTGATACAGCAAGTAAGCAGGATTTGAATCCAGATCTCATGATACAACGAATAGACAGTGAAGCTGAGACTTGAACCCAGGTCTTACGATACAGGGCAACCTACTCCATGGAAAAGCTGGGGAGTCCTGGGAAGGTGAGTGCTCAACAGCCGGGATCCACCCACCGTGGAGTTGAGGTGACCAGAAGCTTTAAATAAATAGTAAATCCATGCAAAACAGCAATGTCCAATTGACATGTTCTTATGCGTTGGCGATTTTTATTTCTTAATTAAAAATTTTTAAGTTACTTAGAATTTGACATTGCAAATGAAAAAGTTGTTTCAATTTAATTTTTTAAATAAATGTCTTAGAATTTCTTCCTCAGCAGAGATTTCGGCAGGGGCTTAGGATGTCATCAAAACAGACCTACCTCCAAGAGCTGACTGAGAGCTGCGATAGAGCTCAGTTCATTGAAGTCCATCAGAGAAGTGGCTAAGGTCCGTAAAAAAGTCCCATCTGGAAAGTCAACAATCAGATTTAGTGGCGTGCGGGTTCCGGCAACTAGCCACGTGTGTGGAGCCTGGATCCCCCGCGGATGAATTACCTTTGATAGCGCTCTGGAACAGCTGCGGGAAGATGCCGTTGGGGGCCAGCTGATGGAAGACGCAGCGCAGGAACTGCTTGGCCACCCCTGCTGCATTGCCAGGAACCATCATGCTGGCGTTGAACAGGGACAGAAAGGGAAGGAATCATGAAACAAGCAGCGTGAGTTTAGGTGTTTATGCACTTACTTATTTAGAGTTCGGGCACCTACACACCAATTCTCTTATGGACTATCTCGTAATGTTTATCAGCAAGATGAAACGCTGTAGTCGCAGGGAATCCCTGTTAACAATAAGTTTTTAGAAACATAGAGCCAGGAGATGCCAGTGGTCCCAAACTAATTCCAGCCACCGCAGGGTACAGATGAGGGCTCCGAGGCCCAGAGAAAAGGTGACCTGCAAAGGCCACAAAGCCAGAGAGTGGCAATGTCGGGACTGGCATCTAGGATGACGATTATCAGCAAGATCCTCCCAGAAAGTGTCACTGGCTAAGAAAAGAGCTACTCAGAGGAAGTATGCAGGGAAGGAGATGTTCGTGCCTAGTGGGAGATATGGGAAGTTTCCTTGGGGCATCTGAGCTGGTACTTGTACAGAGAATACGACTTCGCACAGTTTTCCTCTTTACCCTCTGTAATGCCCGTCAAAAGAGGGAGTTGAGAGATGGTTACGTGGCCCTGCCCCTCAGACCAAAGCATCAAAAAGGATGTTCCCAGAGGTGGTTAGGGGGTGAGTTACAAGAAGGAAGAAAGAGGAAATCAAAGCACCCAAATGGACAACTGGTAAAAAGTCCCCCTTGACCTACACTGTTTCATAATGCCATGTCTACCCTGAAATGCTGCTTCAACCCTGTAGGTCAAAATATTTTTCAGGAAGAAATGACACCAAACTTACACAAACTCTTTCAAAAATTAGGGAAGGAATGAACCTTTCCTAACTTATCTTAGGAGACTAGCATAGCTCTAAAACTAAAATCATATAAAGTCACTACAAAAAAAGAAATAACAAAAACAAAACAAACACTAAGGAACAAAAAAAAAGGAAAGAAAAGAAAAAAGACTGACAGTCCTCACAGACATGGAATCCAACTATAGATAAAATGGATGATGGACCAAATAGAGTTTATTCCAGGACTGCAAGAATGACGCACTAGTCAAAAACCAACCAATGGAATTCAATACATTAAAGAATAAATGGCAAAAAACATTCATTATTTCAACAGATAGAGAAAATGCATTTGACAGAACTCAGCATATATTCATGATATACTCTCAGCAAACTAGATATAGAAGGAAACGTCCTCAATTTGGTAAAGGGCAGCAATGAAAACCCGTAGCAAACATATTTAATGGTGAGATATTAAATGTTTTTCCTGTAAGAGCAGGAAAAAGGCAGGGATGTTCACTGGCATCTTTGTTATTGTACTAGAGGTCCTGATCACTGCCAGAGGGCAATAAAAAAGCAAAAGGCATGCAAATCCGAAAGAAGTGGAACTGTCACTGTTTACAGATGGTATGATTTTTTACAAAACATACAAATGCTTTTAGAGATGAAGGAATCTAAAAAGCATCTGCTACAACAAATGAGTGAACTTAGCCTATTACACTGCAATGTTAGTACAAAAATTCAGTCGTATAGTTATATACCAGTAACAAATAGTGGGAAAGTGGAATTTTAACGAATTCCATGAACATTGGTGTTAAAAATATAAAATTCTTGGGAATAAATTGAGGAAGATGTGCAAGACTTCTACACTGAAAGTCACAAGTCATTGCTGAGCGAAACAAAAAATAATGAAATGAGAATATAAACACCATGTTCATGAATCGAAAGACTCAATATTTTTTTTTCGGTTGTCTCTTCCAGTTTTATGCAGTTTGCATATTTATTAACCATACATACTCTACATTTTTCAATCACTTAAAAAATACTGAAGAGAGACCTATGGTTAGAGCACTAAGCTCAGAAGCAGTAACCAGTGTCTTGCGGGACCCCCTATACTAGATGTATCCTGAACCGAATTAACCAATGTAAGTTAGTTGGTAAGGTTGACGATCTGTGTTCAAATCCATATGCTGGCTCTTGCACGCTGTGAAACTTTGGACAAGGAGCTTTACTGTTAAGTGGTTTTCTCATCCAAGGGAGTTGTAAGAATCAAATGAGATAGCATATATGTAAAGAGTTAAGCACAAGTGGTACGAATAGGGGCTTAATAAATGTTAGCTTTTTACCATACTGATGATGTAACTGTGCAGTCTTTAAGCTGGGTTATGCATACACTTGGGTACACATTGACAACGTTACAGGAAGATCCCACAGGCACATGGGTGGTTTTAAAGGAATTAGATTACAGATCCCAAACTTCCACAGGTCCTGCTGTTTAATATTGATCTGCTCAAGAACAGAGCTTCTCAAGCCCTTTGTCTCTCCCGTCCTCCCCTTTCACAACCACCCTTCTCACAGTGGGATTTAAAACCTTAAGTTTCCAAACAGTTTTGTAACTTGAAATCTAATTATCCATGTGGGGAACATGGGGACATCGAATGGTTTTCAGTTTTTTGTTTTCAACTAAATTGCTAGATCATCGAAAATAATTTTTGATGGGATCATGATGAGAGTTGCAGCACACGACTGGAAGGTCTTTAAAGAATTAATGCGACAATGGTATATCAGACTCCTTCCATTATCAATATGTTACGTGAACCAAGTACCTTAGTACTACCAAAAAAAAGGAAAATAGAAAAATAGGAATAAAATTAATGCTACCTTCTCTTGCTAGGGATAAGTAATATTTATCCATGAATTTATGAACTCATTTTTTTAAAGTCTCATCAATCTCATACCATTCCAATAGTTTTCTCTTTATGTTACTATTTTTTTTCACTCTTTTTTTTAATTAAAGTATCATTGATATACAATCTTATGAAGTTTTACATGAACAACATTGTGGTTTCAACATTCACCCATATTATCAAGTCCTCACACCCCCCACCACCACCATTGCAGGAAAGACTCAATAGTTTTATAATGTCAATTATCCCCAAATTGATTTATAATTTTAATACAATCCTAGCAGGTATTTTTCTCACTGAATTGAGAAGCTTATTCTAAAATTTACATGGAAATGTGAAGATCTAGAATGGCCAAATCAATCTTCTTGAAAAAGGTGACAAAGTTGAAGCAATCACATGATCAGACTTCAAAACTTATTACAGAGCTATAGCAATCAAGAGAGTGTGGCGCCAACTTAAGGATCAACATAGAGACCAATGGAACAGGATGGACAGCTTGGAAATAGATCAACCCTAAGATGCTCATTTGATTTTGACACAAAAGTGACCCAATGGAGAAAGGGAAAAATTTTTTTTTTCCTATGGTGCCAAAATAATTGGATGTCTGCATGCATAGAAGGGAAACTCAACCTGTACCTCACCCCATACATAAAAATCAGTTTGAGATGGATCATATAAATGCTACATATAAATGCTAAAACCTTAAGACTTTTAGAGGAAAACATTGGAGAATAAATATCCTTTTGACATGAGACTAGGCAGAGAGGTTCCTTAGACAAACAGGAAGCAATAATCATAAACTGTTTTGAATTTTAAAGCATTAAGACTTCATCTAAGTTTAAAACTTCTCATCAAAATATGTATTAAGAAAAGGAATAGACAAGCACCAGACTGGGTGAAAATACTCACAAAACATATTTAATAAGGGACTGGTATTCAGGACATATAAAGAAGTCCTGCCCTTGGCAAGCCAATCTCAGCAAGAGCTTACGTCCCTACGCTGTAGCCACACTGGCCATTTCATAGTTCTTCCTACACACGAATTTCTTTTCCACTTCAGGATCTTTGCACATGCTTTTTCCATAACTTTCTGCATAGTTAAACCCAACTCATTTTTTTCAGATCTTAGTTTAAATATCATTTCTTAAGGGAAGTCCCTCTCTCCTCCTCTCCTCCTTTACCACTGCCCAGACTATATCAGGAACGCCTGTTATACACCCGCTCATCTCTCATCGAGGCTTACCTATCTCAGTAAGTGGCACACATACTCCCTGAGTTGTTCAGACCGAAACATGAAATTCATTCTTGCCTCCTCTTTCTTATCCACCTAACGTCCAATCTGTCAGCAAATTCTTTTGGCTCTTTCAAAATATTTCCTGAATATATCCTGAAAGTGACCATTTCTCACTACTTTAAAACCAAGCCTTTATTATCTCACATCTGCACCACTGAAATGCTCTTGATACTAGTTTCCCTGTTTCCACTCTTGACCTATTTTCCTCCATGACCTATTTTCAAAACAGAAGCCAGAGTGATCCCTTCAAAACACCAGTCATGTTGCCTCTTACTCCATGTCACTTAGTAAAAGCCAAAACTCTTTTCAATGACTTATGGGGCATCTTCTGGCCTGGCCTCCCCATCATGTCCTCTACCCCATCTCCTACCATCCTTCCATGCTGCAGCCTGCATGCTGCAGCCTACGTTAGTCTTGATGCCCAAACACACTAGGCATTTTCCTGACATGAGGCCTTTGCACTGGCTGCCCCCTCTGCCTGGGACATTCCTTCCATGGATCACTTCATGGATCACTCACCCCCCTTTTATAGGCTTTGTTCAAATGACACTTCCTCAGAGAGGCTGTCCCTGACCATTATATTTAACCACCTCCAGTTGCTTTCTACCTCCCGGACTCGATCATTTTTCATAGCATTTAGCACTAAATGACATTAAATTACATTATCGGTTCTCTTCTTTGTTAATTTGCTTTTGTCTGCCTCCTCAAAATCAAGTTCCACAAGAGCCAGGACATACTGTTTTGTTTTACTAGTATCCTCAGTTCTTGGGGGTTACTTCATAAATACTTGTTGGACAAATGAATGTTTTACCAGTCTCACTATATTTCCTGTTCTTAGCACCTAATAAATGTTTACAACTATAAACTTGTGCAAATATCTTATTCATGTTTGCCTCCCAGAGAGACTGTAGCACCCACATGGTCAGGAATCATGTCCCTTTTGCCCCCAACTGAAACCTAAGTATCTAGCACAGTGCCTGGTACAGAATGGGCTTAAATGTATTTGTTGAGTAAAATGAGTGACAGCAGGAATAAATGAACAAAGGCATGAATAGAAAATGAACAAATGCTCTCTGAAACTGCAATTGAACCTAACATATATATTTCTTACAGGGTATACCCTCTGGTGTTTTAGAAATGGGATGACCATGCACAGTGGACAGAAAGAAAGTGAGATTAGGGCTCACTGTAGGATCTTACCTTTCTGCTTGATTAGAAAAAGTAGTGCTGGATGCCAATCTGGGAAATAAAGTAAACAGAGTCACATGAACACCTTAGGTTTTCATGATGAAATGCAGGAGTACTGCAGTAGGACCCACTGAGGCTACAATTTAGATAGGAAGACAATTCCACTGACCAGGGGCAGCAGGCCCACCCAAAGGTCCATCTCCAGGGTTCAACTTAACCCAGTTCCTGAGACCTGCTTTCTGTATCAGATCAGATATTTCTATGGATGCATACAGTTATGTTGGTTTAGCATTATCCAGCCAATCTATCAAATGGCCTCTGCAGCCAGGCTAGACAGATATCAGAACAGCATTCAACCCAGTCCATCCCCATACTAACTCAACTCAAAACTCACTTCTTTGTATAACCTCTGAAACCCAATCACAAACCACAAATCCCAAAATTATAAAAGCCTCCATAAAATAGTAAAACAGGAAATAGGGATATTAATAAGCTAATGATTGGGTTGAAATGACATGCTGAGAAGAGACTGTATTAAGTAATCAATATATAATATGTAACTTTTGAAAAATAGAATTATGTGATTCTGTATGCCTGGAAATAGTCTACATATATAAAAGAAAAATGTACTCAATTGGTGGGTTTTGAAAACATGTGTTGATCAGTAAGATGCTGAACAAACAAATAAGGAGAATGCTACAAGTTTAATTACTTAAGACCACAAGAGTAAACCAGGCCCCGGAGGCATTTGGAGAGAACGGAGTCCAACACCTGCTAACACCAAACACCGTTCCTATTGCTTTGGTTATGGGCCTCTCATGCAAATGACACCACAATGAAAAGATAAGCATTGGCAAATGAAAGAAATGGTAATTAAGGGCTCGGAAAATGTGACTTTAAAGGCTCAACCTTGAAAAGGGGATGGGTACATTTTAAGAGAGATCTACGTGGAGAGCAAAATACAAAATCGTATGGAAAGGCTTAGGTGATAAGTGGAGCTTACATACTCTTAGCACACCCTGGAAATAGTTCCTGTGGGACCAGCATAAATAAATGCATTCCTCACAAATCTGCATTACCTCATCTGGAATTGAGGCATGCAAGGAGGCCCTGAATCAGGTGACTGCTGAATCTGTGTTCTTGGTAGGTTTGGTGATTAGGCTTAGGTTGCTAAGATTTGTGCTAGCTTGCTTTAAATGCTCTCCCCGTCTCCTGCTTACCCAAAAGGAGATAGAGATTTAAATGTACGTATATGCAATTACATAAAAGCATATCTGCTAATGATTTTCCTTTGCTTTCTTCAAAGCTCAGGTGTTTGCATCCTAACAGTTGGCAATGCTTGAACATGATTTGTTCTCGCTTATGTAAAACAAACAAAAACAAAATAAAACCCCATTATGTATCTATTACAACTTAGATCAGCTATTTAAGGGAATGGTAACAAACCGGAACAATGATTTAATCTGTTCTAAAACTGAAAATTACTGATAGTGGGAATTGTGATCTGCACTAATAAAAACGCTCAATTCTACAAATATTGCTGATAGCTGGTACATTTATTCCATGATTATTATGATTGGATTAAAATCAAGGGCTTAAATGAAATAATTCACTTTTTCTTACCTCTCCATCTCCCCAGGTTCATCATTTACTTTACACATTGGCTATTCATAAGTATTAGAGGTGGAATAGTTCCACCATCTCTGACTATCCCTAAGGATACACACTCCTAAGGATACTACAGAAAAATTTGGGTAAAGAGGATAGGGAGTTATATATTTTTAGGGTTGAGGGGTCTTTAATGTTTTCCTGTTTGTCATTAACTTGAAATCAGCATTTCTTCATTTAAAAAAGGATTAAATTTTAGCTCCATTAAGATTTTCTTTCCCTCCCTCAAATACCAGGAATTTGCAGAATGTAGTTTTTTCCCTACCTCTCCAGAGAAACTTTCCCTAATAAATCCTTTCCATCCTGAACTTCTACAGCACTTACCACTTATACCACTCTTTACAGCTCTTAATGATGACCTATCTTGTATGGCTACTCAGTCCACACATCACTGTCCTCTTCAACAACTAAGCCACACAGCACTTGAGGGCAAGAACTAGCTCTAATGCCTACAGCCTAAAACCCCCAGCTCTGTTCTAGCCCAGATTGGAAACTTAATACATTCATGTGGAAGTTAATTCAATCCTCTCCTATAAGTTGTGCATGCTAGCAATTTTTTACTGAATCTGAACTTACTTATATCCATGAAATACATCACTTTTTGTCTAATGCTCTATCTACTAAATGGAATTTTCTTAACATGAAAATTGTCAAAGCAGCTAAGTTTAATCTTCCCTCAGTCAGGCTGCAGCCCCTGTTCCCAAAACGTGTGCATCCTTCCTTTCTCTGAGTCAGAAGTCTGAAACTTGCTACACTTATACTTATCCCCTCACACAACAATGTCCCAACCTGCAAAATTAAGCGAGCCACCTCGAGATTACAAAATGCCTAGAGAACCCATCTTAAAACATGTAAAGAGAATAATAAAAACAAGAATGCCTAAAACCTGTAAAGTGTTTACTATGAACTGTGCACAGTTCTGAGCACGGTCACATGCATTTGCTCATATCATAATAGAGAAGAAGAGACAGTAAAGTGCTCTTAGGGCAGTTCCCTCTAGTTTCACTCTAACTTTGTGACTCATGACCCTACATACCGGGGAATTCAATCAAAAGTTTGGTCCTTTCAGTTTTTAAAATCAGTCTGAATTGATTCCACAAATAGCAAGCATCTACAAGGTGACTGAATGTTTTGCTTTCAAACTGGTAGTTCTTATTTCAAAATACAGATTGAATATCTATATTCAATTCCCTCCTCCCAAGCAAAACGGAAGCTGACATTCACCTTCCCACAGATTGCATGATATCCAGTAACAGTGGGGCCGCCAAGTCCGGGCTTAGGTGAATGAACGTGGAGAGGACCACAATGGCCAGTCCAAGGGTTTCCTCATCATATTCTTCAAGGATGGCCCCACAGTCGTGGCATCTGCAAAGAAAACAGAGGAATGCTCTCCATGAAAGCCACCCGTGGTTGTGAGCTCCTAACAGAATACATACAGCCATTTCTGCCGAGTTCTGGAAGAGTCCCCCAAAAGAGGTCAGTGGTCCCACTCTAACAATAAAAAGGAAACTCCAATGTCACCCTCACTAGAGACCCAGAAACAGCACACATGGCCAAGGTCAGGAAGGTTCCTTTAATCACTGAAAATGTTCTTGCAACTCACAGGCACCCGGCCTGTACGTGAATTATTGTTCCCTTTTACAGTGAGTGTCAATTCGATTAACAGTTTGAAGCTTGGTTAAGGGATAGATTTTATGCCTGTGAAATTGCTGGTAAGGATTGTCAGGAACTAGATTTTTTTTTCCATTTGTTGAAATTAAAAATCAAAAGTGCCTAGACAAATAATGGAAGCTTTCCTAAGCTTTTAGATTAAAAAATGTCCTATTTGTAGGTGAGAGACAGGGCAGTCAATAGAACACTCTTAAGAAAACCTGGGGAGTCTGCATTGCAGTCTCTTCTCTACCACTCACATCAGTTTCGTGAACTGACCATGCCTACTGAGTGTAATACATAAAAACGCAGTGGCACCTGCTCTTCAGTAACGTCCAACTTGTTGTTCTTTATAGTATCTAAGGTAGATTGGATTTAATTCAAGAGCTGGGCAGCTTTATGAAGTGAAGGGAAGGTCCACTGGGAGTAGCAAGGGAACCAGAGCTACAATCACTACGGTGGACTTTCCGTCTGAACTGCCTAAGTATAAACCACATGTGTGTACACACACACACACACACACACACACACACACACACACACACACACACACACAACACCTTAAAAATTCATTTTTTTAAAAACAAAGGATTCACATTGTGACAAAAAAAAGAAGAGAAATGGAGTGCACACCAAAGTATTCAAGAAGGCAGCCAGGACAGACGGGGACTCGGAGGAGGCCATAAGGCGGGGGAATCATACCAAAGGAGGCACCCAGAAGAGCTCCCACAAGCAGCTAGGTGCTCCCCACGGGGCCACTCCAAGGCGGCTGGCTGAGACTGGCACCTGCGCTGTCAGTGAGACCGCCACCGCCGCCAGCTGCGCAGGCGCTCCCGCCAACCCCTTCTGCCCCCTCCCCGCTCCCCTGCTTTGTCACAAGCCTACCCAATCTGTCACACGGCTCACCTTTACCAGGAAGCCTCCCTAGCCCAAGGCCGGCTCTATGAACACAAACTCTTGTCAGTCTTACCCTTTATCATACTCACTGAACAAGCATTTATGCACCAAGCCGAGTATAGGGAGCTGAGAGTATAAAATACAGAAAAAAGGGTTCCAGTCCCTAAGGAACCACCAGCTACTACAGGAAGTGTATGTATAAGCCACTAAATAAAATACTAGTGTGATAAAGGGTGAAGAGAAAGATGTAGCAAATACCACAGAAATGCGGAGAATGGCATGACAAATTCTGCCTTATGGAATTAGGGGAACTTTGCCTTAAGTGGAGCCTTGAAGTATGAATAGGAGTTCACCGGGCAGAATAAGAACAGGGAGAAGGGCACCTATGAAATCACAGAGGGAGAACACACCGGGCACGCTCTGGAGAAGGTGAGGGGGCTGGAGAAGCAACCTTGGTGAGGAGTGGTAAGGCTATGCCTTCAGAGTCTGAAGGGCCTTCTGTTAGAAGCTAAGGCATTTGGACTTTATCCTGTAAGAAATCTGGAGGTGATAAAGGCTGACACACCGAGAGGTGACATAACCAGTCTGAGATTCACAGAACGGATTCTGCTGCCAGGACAGGAATAAGAATCAAGTCTCAAACTTGGCCCTTATCCTAATAATGTGAAGCTTCAGGTTAAGGGACTTATACATGTGAAATTATTGCCAGGAATAATCAGTAGGGTGGGTATTATTTGCATTAACCCAAATTAAAAAAAGGAAAATGCTTTGGCATAAACAGAAAGCTGCCCATTCAGTATTGTGAACAAAAATGCATACCAACACTTACAGCTACATTTGAAGAACAAATTATGACTTAAAGCATGGCATACCTCCTCTGAAACTTTCTCTCAACCAAGGCGAGCAAACCGAAATTCTGCAAACACAGTGAGGGAAATAACTGTGTGAGCTTACTTGTCTGTCATTACTGTTGGTTGCTCATCTGCAAATTCTTCGGGTGCTGGAACAAACATACTGACGATGCTGGGTGCTGACAACAGGCTGGATTTAGTGGCACCTGGGGAACAGCAAAGAAACAATGGTGAATAAAAGTCTGTTTCTAGGGGCCAGGAAAAGCCACATTCCCCTCTTAAAATCCTCCAAAGATCCCATTCACAGGGACATGACATGGACAGCCCAACTGCATTGTGAAAAGTTCTTAAGAGTAAAATAAATTCAAGAAAGATTATGATTTGTTTCTGCAAGTATGAGATTCCGCTAAGAGCTAGACTCCTCTTTTTAAGAGCTGGATTCCTATCTCTGCCTCTGTGTCTTGACTTTGAAAAAATCAGAAAGAGTTCAGGTATGCCACAGGGTAAGAGGACAAAGATGAAAAAAAGAAATATATTCAAAGGTATCCTTAAATGAGTTACAACCCTTATTTGCTATCAATCAATGGAAGCTGCCCATATGATTTCTAAAATCACAATGCATACCAACACTACATTTCTAAAATCACAAATGCATACCAATTCTAACATGCTGCTAATCTGGGAAGGGAATAAGATTCCAGAACTCCACACACCTAAGCAAGAGAGATATTTGAGCTAAGAAATATCAGAACAGTTTTCTACATGGGAGATTAAAATCATAAGCCCCAAAGAAAAAGACTTCATTTTCAAACTGACATATTTATGAATGAAATAGCAAGTGTTTTGAAGGAACAAGCCAGAGGCTTCAGCCAATCAATATCACAGAGTTTAAGACTTTGGGTTTTGATGGCTTCAAAGAAATGTGAGGCAGGATTCCTGGCAGCACGCGCTCATGATGAGTCAGGACACTGTTTTCCATTAAGAAAACCACCAGGGCCAGACAGATTCTCCAGGAACTGTGAAAAAGAGGCACTCCAGGAAGAATCCCAAAGTGGCAATCCAGAATAATGCGTGTTCTACGAAGCAAGAACTGAGACACTTGAGTTCTTCAAACAGAAAAAAGGAAGGCAGAAAAACCCAATGGTCATTAAAGAATGTTTCTCATCAAGGAACTGGCAACATGTTGCTGAAAAACAAAACTGTATTATCTTTCCTTAAATTGGGAAACAGTGATTCAGAGATTGGTTTCTAAAGGAATCCACATAGATTTTAGGAACCCAGCCAAGTGGGGAAAGTGGTTCACTGTGAGGGAGAAAAATATGGTATCAACACCTCTGCAGAGCCAAGATGCTTCCCATACTATACAGGTTCTCTTACCTAAAGCCTGATCAAAGGCTACAAAACGTGTTGACAAGAAATAGGAGACCTGCAGACCCGAAGGGCAAAGGAAAGTATCTGAAAATATCTTTCTGCCACTTCCAAAGATCCCAAGCGGGAATTCCAAATTTCACCACCGTATTTACCAGCTATCTCTGAGATAGTACACAAGCGTATCATTAGCAAAGACCTCTGGTTGTGTCATAAAGATGCTGTTTGGAGTGGAAACAACAGTATTCATTACAAGCATAAGCTTAAATTGATTAATAATAGATATAGGCAAGAACTGGGCCAAGATACAGGAAGATATTGATTATTAAACAGTAAGATAAACAGCACGAAGTTGGTTCAAGAAACCAAAACACAGGAATTTTAAATCTAATCCTTCACGTTTCTTGAATATTGAGAGACCATGTCTACCAAATGCCAAAGGCAGTGCTAAAAGAAAATTCAGCCCACAGACGTGTGGTGATAAGTACACAGACTTATGGGAAGCATAAGAAACTGATGAAAAAGTAAAAGCACCTCTAAGTCAAGGCTTTCAGAAGACTTTTGCCTATTCCTGTTATATAGAAATCACAATTCAAGAAAAGGAAGGGAATCAAAGTCATATAGGCGTCTTAAGCCAATCATTACCCAATACCAAGAAACAGGTATCTTTGACAGTAGTGTTGAGAAGTTGTTTTTCCACATGACAACACAGACTGGGTCAGGCAATATTTATGGCAGTCATCTATAAATGTGGATAGGTTAAGCTATTGGGCATGGCCCCCACGTGGCAACATTAGATAGATCAATGGATTTCTAAATACTGCTAATGACATGCGAGAAAAGAGTAATGTACAAGGGAAAGATGGAAATGCAAAAATAAGCCATAGACCTCAGCTTGTAACTGAGCCACAAGGAAGTCTGCAATATTAAAGGCAGTCCTACTATCCCCCAGCTGTTAGTGACACTCCAATGCCACCACTAATTTTTCCTCTACTGAACACCCAAAGAGCACTCTATATGGACCTAGGAACAGAAATAGAAGGTTCTTAGAAACTTGAATAAAGAGGGGAACTCCTCCAAAGCCCAACTTCCAAGATGGAGACATTAACAAAAGCCCCTTTGGGAATCTTGGAGACAGTAGAAAGTATAAAAGTATTGGTTTGTCTCAAAGCATACATGCACACATCAGTCCTCTAGCTGTATCAATGGATGCCTCAGCTCACCTTAGAGAGACTTTCTTTATTCCCCCATCACCTCATTCCATTTTCTGCTATTACTAACTGAGTCACTAGGTCACGGACAAGCACTAGCATTATGTTCAACTTCCCTGACTTCTGCTCATAAAAGCTTTTCCTAGGCTTATAAATAAGAAGAGTCTTATCTTCCTGGACACAGGGGCTCACACTGCTACTCACTGCCAAATGAATGTAGCAAACACTGGAGATAAGTAGCTCCTCATTCCTAAGGAAAACTTTTAAAAGAGTTACACGGTCCAAAATAAAGGGTCTGCATGATTTAAGGAGCTAGCTAAGATATGTGGCCATAATTCCTTTTCAGTTTTTTGTTTTTTACAAAAAATAGGTTAACCCACTTTCTGAATTAAAAAGGGAACCAAAGAAATGATTAACTAGCCATGAGATGAATTTTGAAAATGCCTATTCTGGTGATCTTAGCATAGATTTATTCTTAGCTTGCTCCTATGATAAGCAAAAAGTTAAGTGTATATTTTGTGCAATTTCAGGTAGTTGAAAAGAAGCTCTTCCTCTATGATCTCAACATTCTAGAAGGAACTCAGGTAAGCCAGATCATGCTCAGAGAAGTAAATACAGGATGGTATGGAAACTGGTATGTATTAGGAGGAATACTAAAGGACTCAGGGATGTGGTGGTATAGAGAAGATTGAGGAAATAAGCAATGGGTGGCTATTTTTAAATGCCTAAAAAATATTTGAAAGAGCCTTGTTTGTGTGTGACCATAAGGATTAGTAAGTCACTATACAGAAGAACTTTCTGTCTTCATGTTCAATGATGAGATGCCATGTATTCCCCATCCCTGGGGGTATTTGAGCAAAGGTTAGATCCACTCCACGGAGCTGCTTTAGAAGACATTTCAGCATCTGCTGGGTGATGAGATCAGCGACATATGCAGGTCCTTTCAGCTCCTACAATCTGAGTTTCTTCAACTCAACTCACCTCTCATTCTCAACGGCTGTCCCTCCAGGTCAGGGTTTAGGCACATTGGCACATTGCATTGGTGTTTTCCAGGCTGTATCTGTTCTGTGGATAAATAGAGCATTTCAGTCTTCAGTGTGGTCAATTTAGCACAATTCACATACAAAGAATCACCAATCATCTCTTGGGGCCATTTTTTGGTCACTGTTATTATTGATTATTAACACGTATAGAAAATATCCTGGTTTTTAGGGTATGGTTGTTTGGGGTTTCACTACAAACCTGCCACTCAGGTATATGAAATGCAATTGAAAGCAGGAGCACATCTAAAACCATTCAAAGAAAGATCCAGATTCTCTACCTCCCTCCCCACAAAAGCTCAATCCCGTATCTCTTGATATGAAATGGAAAAAATGAAAAGCCAATGTCATGGCCATAAAAAAAATGTTTTATGCAAATCAGTAAATACATAAGTGACCATCTGGGGTTGTGGCCAGGGCAGTCATACAAAAAACATGTGGAACCGGTAGCAGGGAAATGACAGGCGTTTGGCTGAGGGCTGAAGAACAGGGGCAAGGGGCAGGAGGAGTGGTGCTTCAGGGACATTTGCTTCAAACGAAAGAGGAGGAAAAAGCAAAGCATCAGATGTGCATAGATGGTGCAATCAAACCAGGGCCCCCAGAAGCACACAGGTGCATGCTGAGGTGACGCGATCGTGCCGCATGTTTTTTTGGACTGCTTTCCTCAGTGTGTTTACGTAACCAGATCTGTTGCTTTGGGGACTAACGAGTCACATGTGGAACAAAGTGACATGCATGTAACACTGAACTACGTATTCTTTGACTCTCCTGTGGTCTTGGATTTGGGAGCTTTTTATTTATGGCACTAATAATAAAAAGAAGAATATTGAGATGGAGCTCTAACAGCATTTGGTGACTAAGAAACCAACTTGGAGAATAGAAGACAAGCCAGGAAAACTAGGGTAAAAGAAATTCAGGCAGCAGCATGTAAATGGCAAGTATTAAATGAGAAACCAAAGAGGGAAATGAACAAGGCTGAAGTTTGGTTGAAAAGTGAAAGATTCAGTTAAATGGGTTATTTGGCATCATGTAGGGGTTTTTTAGGTTAAAATTTGGATTGGAAATTGAGACTCAGTTGCCTTTTTATAACTCTACTGAGTCAATCAAACCAGGTTGTAATTACAGTCAGAAATCTAAAATGGTTGGTTTAGGCTGAATTCCTTGCTACAGAAAATAGTAGCATGGTAAAATAATATTGGGAGCCCAAGGCCAACCTAAGAAAAGCTGGTCATTTAGTTATCAGAGAACTAACCAAATAAAAGCTTCTGTTCTCAGATCCTCACAGCTTCATCTCAGTAAAGAGAGAAACAGAATCCTCTTTGGTGTGGACAGAAAGCTTCACCCAAGCCCAGTAAACTCTCACGGCTGGTGTTTAGTGTCTTTCTCCTTGTCTCCCCTGCCTGTTTGCTTTGGGCATTTCATTACTCACTGCCACTTATCACTAAAAGGAAGGTAAAACACTAAATCTTTAAAAGGTTAAGAACCTTTAAAGGCCAGGAGAGTTGAACTACCTGTTAAATGCTGGCTTGGGTATGGTGTGTGGGACCTAATTATCTAGTGTTCTTATTTTGAAGAACAGTGGAGAGAAGGAAATAAGATAACATGTATGTAAATATTATGGTTTTGAAAAAAAGTAACAGTATGTCACTATTTTGGTTTTATGGACATTTATAATTCCCGGTCATGAGGAAGGACATTGAAATAATCTCCCAGAGCTATAGACAGAAAGTGCTGAGATCCTAAGATAGTCTGATCCAAGTGTTGGCCCCCAGAGCACACCACAGTCATGAGCCCTGACACTTTTATAATGCAGGCATGCTGCAAAGTGTTTTCACGTATATAATCTGGTAATTCAAATGACCCATTTAATTAAAAAAGAAAAAAATTAGGAAAGGTAGGCACTCCAAAGAGCAGGATTGTCCCGGTACTACTGTTTTTGAGAAAGTAGTACATGTGCAGAACGTGGTAACAAAGTCTCAAAGATGCAGGGTGATCATGTAGAAAATAGACACGTCCTGGCAGTCAGTGCTTACTTTATAACAGGTTAGATGCAGTCCCATCATGTGAGCATGAGGGTGTGAGCTGCAGCCTGGTGACCCTGCTGACTAAAACACAGAGCTCACATTCCCAAACCTACCGGCAGACCATGGCGTCACTAGGCTGACATTTGTTATAACTATTAGTGTTAATATTCTCTTATTTTTAGTACTTTGTAGTTTATAAAACAGAGAATATTGATAATTGGTTTTTTTTGTCCTTTAATTTGCATCATGAAATCATAGTTCCATTCTCTCCTTTATGCATTTATATTATTTAAGCCCCAGAGAACCTAATATCTGAAATTTGGGTCTTAGAGAAAAAAAAAGAACAAACAGGTGGCTCTTGAACACTTGCAAAGTTTAAATAGACTTATCGATTACTATAGGTTTTTTTACAAAACTATTGGAACCATAGAACAGAAGAGCAAATCTATTCCTTAACAAGGGAGCAGAGGGGACAGAGAAAGTGGCATTAGCTCATCTGAGAGGTAAAACAAGAAGAAAAGCTTGACCCACCAGTGTCCCAGGTGCTGATGTTATGGGGGGCGCTAGACTGGTGCTCCAGCTGCCGCTTCATTAACTGGCTCATTGTCAGCGCTCCCACGGATCCCCTTTTCATCTGCCTACACTGAGCTATATGGAGAAAACGAGCAGATGGTTACTCGGGGGAATCAATTTCCACGGCACACAAAGGCTCTACACATCCACACTGCATTGTCATTGGCTACTTGTAATTGGTAAATTGTATGCTCCTGTCCAGATGAAGAACTAAGGCACTGTGCTGTTCAGGTACCTTTCTTTCCTCAGTAAAGAAACAGTGCCTTTGAGCACACATCTGGAGCCTAGCAACCATTTACTCCAGTTACAACAACATGATTATTTTCATTTACTTCTTTATTTATATACACTGCCTAGTATATATAAGACAGATGATACTACTTCCAATTTATAGCTTAGCTTTTCTTAATGGAACTTGTGCCTATGTAGTTTCAGGGTCCATTATCTCCCCCATGAGGTCCCCATGTGTGTATGCATACACACATGTGCATACATGCACAATTTGGAGAAGGATAACACATATGAACCCCAATTTTTAGAGAGAGAAATTGAAGCAAATGAAATTATGTTACTTGGAACCCATCAGCAAATGAGGTGTTCATAAAACCAAAGCATGTTGACTCCAAAGTCGATGCTGTCATCTCTGTGTGATCCTCCCGCCTACTGTTTGAAAATTGTGCATCACATAACATTCCACAAGTACATTCTAGCACACATCTTTGTTTTAGAAGATAGTGGTAACATTTTTATCCTGCAGTTAAGCACTGATAAATACCCTGCCAATAAAATGTCAAGTTTATAAGCGTATCCAAACCAGAAAAACAATGAAAAACACTTCTGCCAGTAGACTAAGAAAGTAACTGCCTACTACCTTCCTATTCTTCTGTGAGCCGTCCCACCAGTCCCTGCCACCAGCCCAGTGATAAAGGCAGGGGATCACTGATGTGTCTTTTCTACGTGATCCCAAACATTTGGATATTCAAGAACTTATGATTACTCACTCTCTTATAAGGACAATTTCAGAAACTGAAGCTCTGAATTACATGCCTTAGGAGGGAATGATAGAAATCAGGATGATTGTATGGCCCTTGGAAAGCCTTAGATGTTAAACACAGGTTTCATAATCATAGTACCAAGGCAGCAACTTGGTGGGATGTGAAATCAATGACAACACTATTTTAGTGTAATTTGCATGCTATTTGATTCATGGTCACAACATGGTTAGCTACAAAATTATCAACTGGTAAACTGATTAAGGAGAGCAATGTGTTGGGAATTCTTGTGTCTTGGAGTCCATGTTAATGGAATTCACAGAAATGACTATAGAAACCAATATGAAAAATCTGATTCTTATTGACTGGTGAAATTTACAATTTGGTGACTCACTTGAAAAGTGCAACTTCAGGTAAAATTCAAAAGCAGAAACCTTTTAGATGATTTAACGGATTTAAAAATTAGCTAACTCAAAGGATTTAAAACCCCTAATGATTGAATTTCCTCAATTCTTAGTTGTTTGTAAAGACAGCACAATTCCCTGAGAGTTAAAAACCCTTAATGTTTATTTAGCTCAGTGGGTGGGACTCCTGGCATTATGGCTCCAAGAGCACACCACCAAGAGCTATCCTGTACGTGCTTTTCACGAAGCGGAGGAGGCAGATCCAATGATGCAGTATGCTACACCCAAAAAGGCTAGATTCAATCATGATGTAAGATCATGCTACATTTGGTACATTTATGATACATTTACCTAGTACTGAAGTCACACTGACTTAGTCATCCTGACTATCTCTAATTGTACCCAACCTGGAATTCTAATTAAAATTTGCTTTTTCTAGATGACTCATGAAAACTAGGAGGAGAAAAATGCATTTTCATAATTTTAGTATGGGAACTTAAAAACGGGCATTTTATCATGTTATCAAAAAGACTTTTGTGATAAAAGAACAATTGGATTCAGACCTAGAAATTCTGCTTTGCTACCAAAAGGGCAATTAACTGCCACTTGGAAACACTTTCTTAGAATTTCCGTAATCTCTATTATAACTGAATTTGATTTATTCTAAGGCAGTTGGCATGCTAAAAAAAAAAAAAGAGCATGGGCTTGAAAATCAAACAGACGTAGCATCAATTCCTGTTGCTGTCACTAAAGTGGCTGCCTGACTGTCGGCAAGTCATTCAGCCTCTCTGAATCTATGTTTCCTAGTCTATAAAATGGGGTCGATAATATCTGCCATCCAGTGCTGATGTAAGGATTAAATAAGATAATGTGTGTGTGAGCCATTTAGCACAGTGCTCAGCACCTAATAAGTGTCAAATAAATGGCAGCTGTTATTACTATTATGACTGTAAACTCCTTTAGAACAGGGGTATCTTATTTATTCACCTTAGATCCACAGTGCCAAGCGCAGTGCCTGGTACCCAGTAGACACTTAATAAATAGTTGCTGAATGAATGAATGTATGAATGAATGAGTGATAAAGATGATGATGTTCCATGCTACCAGTTCAGCACTTAAGTTATGATCTTTGTCTGATTTTCAGATTCATACTCATTTCAAGAGATGATCAAACTGAAAATTAACTAGCTCTTCAGGCAGCATCCACATGGAACATAGAATATACCAGCACACATGACAAGGATTTGCAGAAGTTGCACCTCTCTTTGTATCTGATTCTTGCTGAGAATTTCCCATGCTAAAGATGCTTAATTAACCCCACTGAGCCTGGCAGACACCCTTGTCTTCACCTCAATGGAACTCAAGCTCTTCATGGGTAAAATCTACGACCTAACAACAGAAGGCCATTTCAAAATTATGCCTTCTACAAATCCTGTAAAATTTTATCCCATTTTTATTTTCTGATCCCTAAGAACTAGATTCACTCATGACTTTGGAATCATGATATATCTGATACATTTATTTTATAATAACTTAGATAAAATTTTGTCAGTGATGGAGGTGATTCAAATCAAACAGAGGTATTCTGTCATATACCATGTTTTTCAATTGTCCCCAAGCCTGTTGCATGTTTTATGTTTAAGCTAGTCATATATAAATCTTATTTTATTGAACCATGAACTCCAGTGATAATTCCTTAATAAATTGGGATTCTTGGCCAATCAGTAACCATACTGATTTATCAAACACTTGAGATGTTGACAGAAGTGGGCCTATGCCTCAGGGTCTCTGCGATCATACAACATAGTGTCACCTAAGAAGCTAATACATTAAAAAAAGAAAGCACAATATCAAGAGTGTGAAAATTGAAAACAGCGCAGCAGATAACATTCCAAAATCAATGTACAGGTGAAGTGATCGCCAAAGGAAATCTTACTTGTTATTGAGGAGTGGCTACTTGTTTCTGGCATGCCTGCTTCTAATGTCGGAGCAGACGAAGATTCTCGTGGCATTTCCAAAGTTGAAAGTCCTTTAGTAGAGGGATCTAAAACCAGAAATATTATTTAAAACTCAGATAGTGATTAAAAGGAAGTTCAAAAACCTTTTCCCTATCTTTCACCCTCTTGCCTAATACACCCTTCAAATCATTATATACTTTCTGGATCAGTCTAATTACTTTCAGGGAATTACATACACACATGGTTTCAAAGTTCCACACAGAGTTGCTTCCACATTACACTCTGCATCTGTGGCTATGCCGCTCAGAGGTTAACAACAGCACAGGTACAAGGCTAAGTCTCAGCATGCTCATTTTGCATGTCCTTGAGCAGGTCACTGAACCTTTCCAGAACCGAATGTCTTTTCATCTATTACCTAAAGATGCGTACAGTTCATTCCACCTATATCTTCCCACCACTCCAACTCTGTCTGGCAATTTCCTACTCATCATTTACATCTCAATTTGAATAGGCAATTCCTCCTCCAGGAGGGCTTCCAGGTCCCCCTTCCCACAAAAAAAATACAAACAAAAAACTTGGTTAGGTGATCCTCTTATATAATCCCATCTGTCCTTAACCCTTCCCAAACTCAACACACCATAATGTAATTATTTACTCATGTACGACCTTTGCTAAACTGTACGTAGCTTAAGAATGGGGACTGTATCTAACTTAGACTACATCCTTACCATTAACTCAGATTTTCTATTGTATTAATTGAGCAGGAAACAGACTGTATCATTTGCTTCTTCTATATGACAAATACAAAGTGAAATACTTTCTGCAAATAATATTTTCATATTAATCCATCAATAATGGGAAATAAGCTGTCCCACATTATTCTAGGTAAAGATTATACTTTAAAACTTTTTGAAAAGTTTAATGATTTATCATAGCAAACCCCCTAAAATTCTTCACAACACTTGCCACCTTAAGCAACACTGTGTACTGAGTGCAGTGTGCAGCCTGGAGTTACCACTAAGGGCTTCCACGATTATACCGTGCTGTAATTCAGGGGTGCCCCTACCCCACAATGGCTTCAAGTTCTTAAGCTTCATGATGTCTCCTTCTCATTCTTTTTATATTATGAATTACTTTTTCTTGCCACAGACAGGTCACCATACATTCATACATACATGCAATTTAAGTATGCAGATGCTACTCTATTATTGAATGTTCACTAAACTTGCTAAACTATACTAAAAAAAGAAAAGAAGTAAAATAGATCCTAGGTGAAAATCTGGAAAAAAGTTTTTAAGCCTTGATTTTGGAACATCTATTTTTGATCCTCAGACATCCTTTGGAATAAATATGGTTGCCAGATTAATAATTTCTTGATAATAAAAAAAGTGTGACTGTTACAATGTTCCCCAAACTCTCTCAATAAGGCATAGAAGAGCTACCCATTTTAAATTGCCTTAGTCATTACGATTTTAAAAATTACATTTTTATTTTTGCCTTAGGTAGTTAAAAACATGCATAATTACCTCTCTTGCTCTTATCTGCCTATTTTATGTTTGCTGCCACTGTGGCATAATAATCCCACCAATAATGTAGAATGAGAAAGCTTAAAGCTAATTTTCAAGAATTCTTTGAAAGATTACTGAGATTTTTTAGAATTTTGGTATACTTATTAAAATCACTGGTATATCTTTAATTTCAAAGAAATGTCACTACTATTAGATAATAATCATTAGTGTACCAAGTTTAAGCCAATTTTTGTTCAGTCCTAAATTATTACATGATATGTACAGCTTAAGACATTTGTATATACTTTAAGACAACAAATATTTAATAGAGCTATACACTTAGCTTAAAGTATTTCTATTCAACTTTTATAGTTTTGTGCAGAAAATGTCATGCTATTCATTCATTTCTTAAATATTTGCCAACACTCCATTAGGATACTCTACTTAGGATATAGTCAGCAAACAAACCAGAAAAAAATCTTTGCCTTTGGGAACTTTCATTTTAGCAGGGAGACAGGCAATATGCATGAAAGTAAATAAATTATTGCATGTTAGCGGAGTAATTCTTTGTAGAAGAAAAATAGAGAGGAGAAGCAATTCCAAGATGCTAGGTAGGGGTAGTAAGGTGGGGTGTAGACCAGGCCTCATTGGGAACCGAATGTTGGATCAAAGAACGAAAAGATGTGAGAGTAAGCCAGGCAGATATCTGGGGAGGATGGATTCAGGCCGAGGGAACAGCCAGTGTAAAGGCCCTAAGGTAGGACTATGTAGGGGAATTCAAGAAATGGCAAAAGACCACTGTAGCTCCGTAGAAGAAATGTGGAGAGAGCAGTGCAAAATGAAGCCAAAGAGCTAATGAGAATCAGGACCACGTAAAGCATTTGAGATATTTAAAGGACTTGAGTTTTTACCATGAAAGAAATGGGGAGCCAGGGGAGGGCTTTAAGCAGGGGAATGGTGTAAGGATCACTCTGGCTGTCGTGTTGGGGAAATACAAATGCAGTAAGGGTAGAAGGCAGGGAACCAGCTAAGAGGCTGGAACAAACTGACCCAAGTGAGAAGTGTTGGTGGCCAGCTCCGGGTGAAAACGGGAGATAGTGAGAAGGGGCAGATTCTGGATGTATTTTGAAGGTAGATTAGGGTGGCCACACAAAATAGAGGACACCTAGTTAAAATGTAATTTCAGATAAACAACAGGTGATGTTTTTACTATGAGTATGTCCCATGCAATACTTGAGAGACACGACTCCAGTTCCACGCCCTCTGCCACGTGACTTGGCAGTTCCTCCCTCTAACGGGGTAGAATATAGTTCCCTCTTGGCTTTACGTGCAGCCAGGTGATTTGCCTCAGCTCCCATGTTTGCAGGCATGACGCGAACAAAGGCTTGAAAAGATCCTGCACAGTTGGGCTTTCTCTCTCGTGCCTCCTTGGAGCTTCACCACGAGAAGAATATTCTCAGGCTTTTTGGCCCCAGGACGAGGTGGGCCACCCAGCCCAGCCCGGCCTAGTTTGCTGTACACCGCTGAGAGTTTATGCTTATCTGTTACACAGCATTATTCTAGCGGTAGATAACTGGTACGGCTGTCTCAGCAAACAAGCAATATGTAAAACTATAAAACGAGGTGAGATCACAAGAGTGAGTGTAGACAGAGGTCTGAGAAAAGAATAGTCACGGACAAAGACCCTAGGGCTCTCCCTCATTAGGGAGACGAGGAGAAACCAACAAAAGAGATTAAGAAGAAGTGGCCACTGGATAAGGAGAAAACCAACACAGGGTGATATCCGGGAAGCCAAGCGGAGTGGGGGAGTGAGGCCTGAGAACTGACCCCTGGATCTCGCAGTGGAGGTCGGGGTAACCTTGACAAGCTAAGAGTTTGGGTGAAAGCTGCACAGGCATGGTGAATTCTCTTTAGAAAGTTAAGGACAGGAGAAAACTGGAGAAAGTGGTAGTCTAGAGAACCCTTTAAAAAGTTTGGCTAAAAAGGGAGGAGCAAATTGGGAGAATAAGTGGGAGAGCTGGGATCGACAGCTTTTAATTATTTTTAAGACAGAGAAATAGAATTGTTTGTATGCTCAAGTCAGGGTACCTGAGAAAGAAAAAAACTAAGGGAGGAGAAAGGGGAGAATTTCTAAGAGTGCGTCCTTGAGCAGCTAAGAGAAATGGAATCTTGTCCACATGCGGAAAGGCTGGCTTTAGACAGGAACATAGATGGTTCACCTACAGCCCCAGCCAGGGAGGCCAGGTGCATGAGTGAAGATGAGGGACGGAAGGCAGATGAGGTAGAAGGAGGCTGTGGAAATTCTTTCTGATGATGTCAAATAGGAAGAGTTACTGAAAGTTCAAGAAGAAAAGTAGCTATGAAATAGTCACAGGGGAGAATGGAAACATGGACCAGGGATATATGGTATGATCGTCAGTTAGCTTTAAGGACCCTGTTATGGTTCATGATCAAGAATTTAAAATGAGACCAGTCAATATTGTTGTGTGTTTCTCTCCAGGCACACTCATCTGATAGGTACAGGCGCTGGTAGATGGGTACGTGGATTTGACGAGGGTTGTGTTTAGCCCAGCAAGTCTGAAAAACCAAAGGCCAGGGAGGGTACAGGCAGAGAGGGTTACACTGATTGACTTGAGAGAATAGAAGCCGGGAAGCAGGGAGGGACAGCGAAAGATAGCAGGATCAATACAGTGCTGTTCAGAGAGAGAGGAAATGGAAATCAGAGACTGGGAGGCATGAGACTGACTTCACCGAGGGGCTGCAGTTATCGGTAACAACAAGGTCTGCGATGTGATCCTGGTAATTAGTTCTCAGCTGGGGTGGACGATTTTAAAAAGTAACTGAAGAAGATGAACTCAAGGAACTGAGAAGCCAGAGTGGTAGTAGGGTCATCTAGACTATTACTGAAATCAGTAAGAACTAAGACAGGAATAATTTAGGAAGGTGTAAAAAGAGCCAGAGTCAAGCTGTCGACAAATGAGAAAGTCCGGGTTTAGTACTACGTGATTCAGAGCTGGGCATTTCCAGAGATATGGTAGGAATGGTCTGAAAGGGGCCACAGTGAGCAAGGAAGATGCCTACCCACTTGCCCAAGCCCATGGGCACAAGGGCAGGGGGAAGCCACGTCCTCAGGTGGAGTTGAGTTTCCATTAGCTCCACCCCATAAAGGAACAGTTTGAGCAGAAAGTATAGAAGGGATTTTGCTCATTAAGGACCATGAACTTCTGACCAAGAAAGGATTTCGGGAATTGGGATGAGGTAGGAGAAGTTTCAGAACAGGAAATGCACGAGATCTTATGGAAATTAGAGTGAGGGACATGAAGGGTGGCCTGGGGCTTCTCACAGGGACCGACGTGAACAAAGAGAAAGTTCACAAAGCGATGAGACCTGGTGACTCAAGGCAAGAGCAGCAGCAACTGTGATTCTGGAAGGATTGGGAAGCATAGATGTCTGGGCCTCCCTTGACGCCAACTGATAGCAGCAAGGGGTCTCGGGAAGCCTGAGCCTTACTCCGAGCCACAGGCCTCCTTCCAACACCCAGCAAGGAAGGGTAGGAGATCTGCATGCTGTGGGAGGTGGGACATAAAATTATTATGACAGTATAACACATACTATAAAAATGTTAAAGACATTATCCTAATTGTCAGATATTTTCCTCGTGTTCTCATAACAAATACATTAATACAAAATCAATCTCCATGGTAGCCTGGGGAACAGCCTGACATAGAATGAATAAAGAAAGCAACATACACATGCACAAACATACACACTGCAACCTATATACAACCTATGTATCATATATGCCCTTATATGGTTTCTTATATACCCACCCTGTAGAATTCTATAGTTTCTAGGTCAATACTTTCTTCCACCTATATGCAGCAATTTTCCTGGCTCCAAACAATAAAAAGGTACCCCACTTTTCCTAGAAACCTTAAACTTTCTAATTACCAGGACCTTCCTCTTCCCCCTGCCTGGTGGAATCATGACGCTTTCCAAATACACTAATGTTCATTGGACAGATTTTTACAGAGCACCTTTGAGGGACACAGCTCAGTCTTGTGGGAGAGAAAACAGCTGGAAACCTCAGGAAATGACAGGGGCAAATAAAAGCTGAGCCATCCTCTTAGAACTTGCCTTCGTGTGGAGCAGCGGGAGAAGCAGGACTAGAATTGGGAGAACAGCCCTGGCAGTGCTGCCCCCTGGCTGTAGCCTGGGGCAGGGCACGTCCCCTCAGGGTGTCAGTGTCCTCTCAGGAAATGAGGGGTTACACAGGGGGTCTCCAAGAGCTTTGCTGGTTCTCAACATTCCATGGTCTATGAATGAACTAGACTAATCATCCCTGGCCAATTTCATTTTTTTCTAAAGAGTGATATTCTTTTTTTTTTTTTGTATCTGAGCCGACATGAAGATACATGTAGTACTCATGGCTGGCCACTTTCTCAAGTTACCATTCCTAGAAACAGTGCCTCCTAGGAAGCGCTAGAAACGACACTCAGGGCAGGAAATCTGCCTGCGGAGACAACTTCACCATCGGGTGTTAGGGTCTACATTGTATGTAGGTTTTTCTTTTTCTTTTTGGTTCCTAAGGGCACACAATGCCCACCAGATAGCTATCCTTGGTGAGACTCTATAACCAGCTGTACACCTTACATGATCACACAGTCAGTCTTTCAGTGTTGTAAGCACTCTGTGCTCTATTTGAGCCCTTCATGTTTGTTCTTTCTTTGGATTAAATCATAGCTCATTAAAGTATAGTAGGAAAAGAAAAGAAAGCAAAAACATTCAAATTCCTGACTTTTGCTGTTTGAGGAAAGCTAAAATGATATTTGGAATATCTTGATATGAGGCAACCACTATCTCTTACTGCCAAGGATGGTCTAGAATTGATTGGAGAGTTTAGAAGCAACGAAACCAGAAACATTTATGGAGCCAATAAACCACATCTGAATCCATCACAGCCTCGTAAGCAGGAAGGATTCAGAGTGATTATGAAGCAGTTATAATGTCTCTCCCTGACATTATAAGACGGAGAGTTTGACACAGAGCCAGTGCCAAGCCCCTGACGAGATGCACAAACTTGAAGGTAAGGCTGGGAGCACGAAGAGGAGAGCTTACCTGGGTCCTTCTGCTCTCCCAGTTTGTCTAGAATGTTGAAGGAAATGTCCAGGTACTCTCTCTGGATGGCACTGACAGCAATCTTCCGCTGTTTCCTCTGCCTGGGAACAATCTGAATCTTAAATTCGGATCCTTCTGCTCCTTCCTCGTCTGCCTTCCTCTCAGGAGTCTGCTCTGCATCCGATTCAGCACTGGTATCGGGCTTCTCGCCTTCCATTGGGTTCTCAGCATCTTCAGGGACTTGGAGGAGGACAGCTTTTGCCCCTGAACTTGGCATCAGCCCACTGGGCTTCTCTTCCTGGATGCTGGGCTCGGCGTTATCGTCCAGGGACATCTCAGGGAGAGCAAATGACTTCTGAAGCAGGTCCCGTTTTTGTTTAAGTGTGAGAGGGCTGCCACAGGAAAGTTCCTGCAGCTCCTCGGGCTTCGATAATTCCTCAGAGTCCGTGGGGTCTTCCAGAGCTATGAGAGTGGAGTCCTGGTCACCTGCTGACTGATTATTTCCTGAGTCCTTAGAAGAAAAGTCTTTGGAACAGTCTTCCACACTTACTTGCACAAGGGGAGTTGTGCTCAGGCTGAAGACAGAAGGGTGGCTGGGGACGGAGGGAGAAGAGGCAGCGTGGTGACCAGACGCATCATCCTGTCCTTGGTCCATGGTCTCCTCCTCCTCGTCACTCTCCACTATCCGGAGAGGGGGAAGAGGTTCAAACACAAGAGAGTCACTGTCAGATGTTGAGAGCACAGAGTGTTTTTCAGGCCCCGATGTTGAATCTGAGGACAAATCTATCAGATCTAAATCCTCCTTAGGAGCAAGCTTAATAGGAGAATCAACTTTCACCTCAAATGTCTCCATGCAGTTTAACCTAACCTCTGGTATCACAGGCCTTCGAGTTTCTTGGAAACCTTCCAGAGCTGGGTTCTCAGGGATTTCGGAATTGTCGGGCCTTGTAGCAGAATTCTGTCTAGGGCGTCCGTGGTCCTGTTGTCTTTGCGTGACATAGGCAGCTTGGAGGGGAGGTCTGTCTATGTCACACCGGTCAACACAGGACTTCCTGCGGTGTTCGTCTAGTGCAAACAAGAGGGAGTCTGCATTCCCTATATCAAGAGATTTTTGTTTTAAAGAGCGCAGCTTTTTTTTCTGAATGCTTTCTTCTCTCACACAGTGTAGAATGCTGTCTTGTAATGCACCCGTTTCTCTATATTCAGCCAGTTCTATTTCACCTGATTAAAACAGAAAAAGCTAGTACTATTTTACTTGGAGATTTCACTGTTTTTTACCCCCTCATACTTGGGCATACAATTGGCGCAAACCCTAATGACAATCCCAGCTCCACCAGAAGGCAAAACCGACTTTCTGGCCAAGTTTTTGTAAGGGTCATTCAAATTTCAAAAACCAGGTTAACTTTGGAATGAAAGAACCCGAAAGAGCAGTTAAGGTCTTATTTCCAAATTCAGGCTTCAAGATAATTCCTCAGCTCTATTCATTTGCGCACAGGAGAAGGGATCGCTTTTGGCTGAGGCAGATCTAGAAAGCTATTCAAATTGTGTGGAAGAGAAGCAAACATTTCACAACAAATCAAGTCAAGCAATGGCCCTCTAAGACGATCATGGTGTTAATGATGTACCCGTCGCTTCACGTATATATATAAATGGGTATATATATATACTGTTTGTGCATACATATATATAAAATCAACAGTATTAAAATGTGTAGTAACATAATAAAATTAAGATTTCACCCCAAACAAACAGTAGAGTACAACATTTCTGCATAAAATTACTAAGAGGAAAAAATTCATACTTCTCTGAACATTCATCTCAACCGGCTGATATTTCACCATTTTGCTGCCGCCTATCCTTTTCAATCTTGCAAAAAAAGTTTGAGACTCTTTATTGCAGGGTCCAGTAGGTGTATCATGAATATCAGATTCATCAAAAACACTATCTTCTTCTAATTGGGGAGAGAAAGTCAAAATTACACTTTAGAGGTTATTCTCTCTTAGGCTGTGTCTACACAAGCACTTCAATGAAAGCATTCTGAAACAAAGTCTAGGGTGGCTTCTACACCAGCCCAAGTCTAGCCATGGCTCAGTATTTCATCCAGGCATCAAATTATCCAGCCGTTAAACAGGGCAACCTGTTACAAGGTTGCCCCTCACTTTCCATGTGACAATTGGCAGCATGTTCAAGAGAGGCCTCTCAATATTCCAATAGAGCCTTCATGGGGAAACTTTTCTTATGCACTTAAAACCAGGTAGCATACATGTCAGGAATCTGTGGCACTCCCTGAATGTGCCTGCTTTGGGTGAATTTTCAGGCTAATTTGGCAAAAGAAAATTAAACAAAATGAGAGGATCTCACCCTTTCCAAAAATATATGCCTTCCTGGGATTTGAGAACTGGCATAGACACAGCCTAACAGTACATGCACCTTATACTTGGTGAATGCAAAATACTGTACTCTACATTTGGTAATGAAACACACAACACACAGAAAAAGCTTAGAAAAGCCACTGGTCATCTCAAAAGCTCCACAAATGATTATGGACTGAAAGGGTAAACAAAGGAAAAAGAAAACAGAAAATAACACTTCCGCCTATTAAAGTAAGGCTCTTGTCCGAGGAATTTGCTGCATGTGACCATGAAAGTTTCTTTGACTCTTATGATCCTGATGTTTCATAAACAAACTGGTCACTTAGAGTGCCTATCAAGCCTGTCCCTGTGTCCTCTTCTAGTACCATTTGGCCATTTTTAAATCAAAGATTAACCCAAAAATACATTAATGAGGAAAGGACTGCTACATTGCAACCCATGGAGTTCACTGAATATATTTTCTTCTTTCGTCCTTTGGAAAGGCCAAAGCCATGTACAAAGCAACAAGAGAAAAGACTAGAAAAATGTGTTTAATACCACAATAAATGGAGTTAGCCTACTACTCAAGTTGAATATCACTGAAATCATAGTATTTGGCTTATATTTATATCCACATTTATGACAAAATGAGGTTCAGGTGTGATTATGATCAAGATTTCTTGAGTGTAAGGGGAGTTACAAGAATACAGATTTTAAGGACCAATTCTGTCCTAAAACACAAGATTCTACAAGTCAATGAAATTTGAAGCAGTAGATGTTGAAGTCTTTAACTTCATATCAAATTTGTAGTCAAATAAAAAAAAATAGGTGTTACTGATCAAAATGGATGCAAAACTCTGAGTGAACTCGTGCAAAGATGAGAAAGCCATCAAATTCCCACATTTCTGGGGAGATGCAACACAGTATTTTACTTATTTGTTTTAGTTATTTCCTTTCTAAAAATATTCTCCTGTGAAAAATAGTTTTTTTTTAGTTATGTGACTTCTGTTACATAACTTTGAAATAATTCTCAAAAGGTACCAAGAGACACAGGAGGACTTCAAGATGGCCTCTCCCATTCAGAAAGGTTCATCTGGGGTTGGCCCAAACACTGAGGACATCTATAGTTTAACTGGATCTATCCAACTACTCAGAAACTGAGACCTAAGCTGGTAAACAAGATATACTTCACAAGGATCTGAATGGTACCAGAACTTAAAGAGCTTAGTTTTCAGTTCCAACTATGGCCAACCTAGACTCTTGGACCTTTAGCAATAAAGAGATAGTGGAATACTGGTTCCAATCTACCTATTGAGGTATTTCCGAAGCAGTCCCACCAAATCAGGATTTATGAATACCACAAAGGGTCATGGGCACTTAGGCTTTGTCCCAGTGTTGGATTGGATGACTTCAGCTTTTGCAAGTCTCGTCACCCTGTGACATGCACTAAGGATCTACACCTTGGTTCTTCAGCTCTCACCCCAAGACAACCAGTCTGGAATTTTACTCTATCTGAAGTTTTATTATATTGCCTCCTTTATAGAAAAGCTATCAATATAAAACGTGTTGATACTGGAAATAATTTAAACCTATGCAGCAAAAATGTTTCATTTAGTTGCCTTAAATCAATTATCATTGAATAAGGAGGCCAGGAAAAAGCACTTTAGCAAATTTAGACTCCATTCAAATGTATAAGCACAAAATTTAGGAGTAAATTAAGGACAGACAAGATTATGGCTCCAATGAGTGACAACCAGGATTTATTTCACTGCCCAGAGTGAGATGTTTCCAACAGTTAGGAAAAGGCTTACAAAGGTTCCTTAACCAAACAGCAGACAATTTTTTACAAAACATTATTTGTTATGAAATGGGCTTTAGAAGCATATCAATTATTTCTCTTGAATGTTCACTGAAAAAAATTAGAATAGCAACACTAATGGGAAAGTGGGAAAATTAATGCAGTACTGAGTGATTTTTTTTACTCCAGAATGATATTTGGGGACACTCTTCTATCTCCTAAGGAAAACATTGTCCAGAAATGTATTACGTATTCAAGCTACGTAAGTTGGGGATAGAATGGAGATATGTAAAGTACCTTTTTCTTTTTCGCTGTATCTGCTTATGTTACTGTTGTCACTGTACAAAGGTCCTGCCGTGGCATGGGGCTTGCAGCTATGATACTGGGCATTGAGTGTATTGACTGTTATGTGAATCAGATGCAGCAGGACCTTGCTGATATCACAGTCTCGGTATGGATACTGCTCAATGAAATGGAGGGAGAAAAATATAAATGGTTATTTTGAAGGGTAAGTTTTCCACTTGATCTTGCTAGATATTTTTCTCAGTATCTCTTGGAGATAAGAAATACACAGAAAGGCAAAACACAAATTCTCATCACGGCCTTATTTGACAAGGGACCCTATTCCTTTCCTCTTTTGCACAACAATGCATGCCAGTTCATGGTTACGATTTCTTTCAAGAAAATTAACTGCCATAAACATTTGGTATATTAATATAACTTTAAATATTTTCCTTGTTTTCTGATGTAATAACTAACACATAAATAAAATGAAATTATGAGCATAAACAGAGATTGTTCATCAAAATCTTGCAATTCATCATTTTTGTTTTAAACATTTGTAGAGTAGACACAGGCACAGTCTCCGTTTCTATGTTCATTTCAATGGCTCTTTACTTCTCAACATTAATTGTACTTCGAGATTCTTCCTCTGAAGGTCAAATTACTATCCTACAAAATTCCCAACTTAGATCCCTTAAGTTTTCTAAGAGAAATCATTCCACCTAAGAAAGAAGTGACTACAGCAGCCCACCTTGTAAAGAATGACAAGCAAGGCCTTCAACCACATCTGCCGGATATGCGGTTTTAGGGACCAGAGGGAACAGCGAGGTGGTTGCTGGAAATAATGCCGTAGTTGAGGACAAGAGCAGTATTTGAGCACCTGAACCACCAGGGGAAGAAGGTGTTTTCCCAAGTTAATGTTATAATCCATAACCTGAAATAGGAAAAAAATTAATAACTGAAGGAAAACTATAAAGAACACTTATAAGCCAAAAGGTTAAATTTGAACCATCAAAACATGAGCAAAATGTTTAACAGGCATCTCACAAAATATTTATAGATGGCTGGTACACGTAAAGAGGAAATGTCCACCCTCACAAGAAATTTTAAAAAATTGTAAGTTAAAATCATTTTAATCTACTTATCTATTTAATTTATCTACTTAATAATCTATTGAAAATAAAATTTTATCTATTAAGACATCCTATTAAACTATTATCTAGAATTAAACTAAATCAGTGAAAACACCTAATATTGGTAATCACATAGAGAAACGGGCACTCTTAGACACCACTGGCAAGCATATTACCCAATACAACCTTTTAGGGGAGCAATGTAGCAATATTCAAGAGTAAGAAAAAGCACATAGTCTCCAGTACAGCAATTAAATATATCCTGAGGAAATAATCAGAAAAGTGTTCCAAAATGTATGCATAAAGATATCTAGCCTTACAGTCCCCCCAAATTAAAAATAACCTTCATATTTAATAATACAGGATTCATTAAATATTATTTTTATGACAAAAAAATGCTACATAGTCATTAAATAGGATACAAAATTTATGTGATATGAACTTCATAATTAACTTCAGGTTTAAAAAACCTTTTACATATATGTGTATGTATGTGTGTATATATATAGATCAGTATATATAATATGATCCTTTTATTGTAAAAAATGTGTGTACATATATGTATATACATATACATACATATATATGTATGATGTATACATGAATGTATGTAAATTTGCAACCAGTGATATACACCAAAATGTAGTTAAGTTATTTTTGTCATGGGTTTCCTAAAGATTTATTTTTTAATTTTTTGCTTAGATTTATAAAATAAGAATGTATAACATGGACATAGAAAGAGAGAAGTTAAGGGAGGACAGCAAGGAGGGTGGGTTGGGTATCTGAAACGGTGTCTCTCTCTTCACAGGCAGTTTGAGTACTAGTGGCGACCCATCTAGTTAGCAGCATCAGCAAGAGAAAACCACATACATATTGCTCACACTTTGCGAATCTGTGTTCATTATATTACAGTCTGTTGATCTAATTGATAACAGCTACCATCACTGAGTCACTCCCATGAGACAGGCACTGATTAAAGTGCTTTGCAATATATTGTCTCTAAGCTTTCAAAAAAAATCTGTTACCAATGAGCAAATAAGCAGAGGACGCCAAAGGCCATAACAGTTACTAAAGTAGCAGAGGTGAAATTCATATCCACATCTCTCTAGTTCCAAGTTCTATATACTTTGCAGACTGCTGCAGCCATTCTGGAGAGTGAGATACACAGCACTGGTGAAATTAGGCTACTTAACCTCAGTGGTCCATTAATTCTGCTCTGCATCCATGTCTCAAAGGAATTCTCACACTGGTGGACTAGGTGCATGAAACAATGTTGACTGCTGAGCTGCTTGGGGTGATGAGGAGTTGGGAGCAATATGACTGGGAATAGTTAAGTATGGCGAATGTACCCGAGAGCACACAACACAGCAGTTAGGAGGTGCAGACAAACATGGAAAAGGCCAGTGATGATAATGTGACATGAAGTAAATTGTATGATTAACTCGACTCTCCACCTGCAGCTAAAAAAGGAAAAGGAAGAAAACAAACCATACCTACAAACAAAAACCCCATAGTCCCCTGTGGTTGAAGGGGTAGAGTTTCATTTTAGGATGATGTGAAAGTGCTGGAGATGGACAGTGGTGATGGTTGCACATAATGTGAATGTACTTCCTGCCACTCAATGGTACACTTAAAAACAGTTAACATGTTACATATGTTTTACCTAAAAAAAAAAACCATTTCTTACTCCTTTATGACATTAGGCTGCTGATCTTACTCATTTCCGTATTCCCCTCCCCTTACCCTGCCTAATGAAGGCTAAATGGAATTTAAGGACTCCCTTCTACTAAAAGCCTAACAGTAGGACTCCTAAAAGCTTACACTTACTTGGGCAATTCCTGCGATAAATGCATTAAAACATGTTGACAGGCGCATTTTTTGAGGTGCAATCATGAAGCAACCTTCCTGTTGGTCATAGCCAAGTAGGACGTACAGGTGCCGCTTGACTGTGTTGAAGGCCTTTGCACTGCTGATGTCTGACTCGGCGCTGCTCTCATCCTTGGCCATGAACTTCATGAGCACTGTAATCAGCTGGTGAACTGTCTGGTGGTCGATCCCAGCATCTTCTGGGAGCAGGTCCTTGATGGTGTTGTCATTCTCAGGAGATTGTTGTCCTGTCAGTACAAGAAAGGCCATCAGAGGGCGGCTCCCCACAAGTAAGTTTGCACTAAAATCTCACTTACTGATAAAGCACCATTCCTTTTGCTTCCACTAAATATTTAGAAGTTGTGTTTCAGACAAACTTAAAGGCACAATATGGCCTACTAAGTAAAGCATTAGCACAGGGGTGGAAGTTTCTGCTCATCAACAACCGAGTAGTTTGGGAGTAATAAGGGAACGGTAATAAAAATAAGGTGCTATAAAGCAAGGTTATCTTCAAACAGCAAGACAAATACCTAAATCAACTTTGCATTCAGTGAATTTTTTTTTAATATCTTGGCAAAGTTTTACCCTCAGCAATAAAGGGAACTTTCCCTTTCAGCTTTGTAAAATAAGCACCTAAGAATAACCTCAAAAATAATATTCTAAAATCCACTAAGCACAAAAACATCTATTGGGTTATTCCGTTTAAATTATCTCAATTCAGTTATGTTCATAAATCAGCTGGTGCCAAAAAAGTGTTTTTTCAACATCTGGAGACATTAGCAGCATGTACTCTTTGAATGATGCAGCCAAAATTACAAAGCACAAAATTATAAGCCCTGCAATATGTAATGAGAAACATACAAGGTAGGGGCAGGGGCTGAGGAGGGAAGCACAGACAGAAAGAAGCATGAGCTTTTAAAAACAGAGAAAAACACCACAGGAATGTGAGCCCCATGGAAAGAAAAAATATTCAGCCCTTGATTTACTCTTTATCTAATAAATAATTACATATGAGCAATTCCCTGACATCGACTTCCTCTGCTCTTTTCAATGTCAGAAACTATACCCTGTCTCCCCGTGTTTTTCTGCCTCTTCTGATCTGCTTTAGTTTTTTACTCTTTGTGAAGGAAGAATAAGATTTGCTCTTCTCTACTTATGTTTTGGGGCTTATTCAAAATACCCTCTGCATTCATGTATTTCCTCTGAAAAGCAACATCAGAATTTCTAAGTTGAAAAAATAGTTTTTGCCTGGTGGGGTAGATCAGCGCACCAGCGTTCTCATCTCTCACCCCGTGAGGAAACGTTCTACTAAATGATGACAAGCTTTGGTTACAAACCATTATAAACCACACCTTGAATATATCTGTTAGAATTAGGGCATAAAGGATGCGACAAAGAGCTAGGTAGTCATTTATATCCATTAACTCAACTAATTTGGGAAAATCTCAGTCTTCCAGGACACAGTCAAGAGAAGCAAGAGTGCAGAAATGTTTCCAGGGGCTGCAGAAATGAGCTGCCTAGAGCCAGACCCTCTTCTCTGGAGCAGTGGCATGAAAGTAATGTCAAATTCAGAATTTACTAGTTTAGAACTGCACATAAGGTTGTGCGCATAAACAGACAAGCTTGGTTTTCTAGTTTATCCCAGATGATGAGAAAAATGCTGGTCTGTTCTAAAGTGATACACTGAGAAGGGAAAGGCAACAGTGAGTGGACAGGCAGCAGACTCAAGTATGTCTAAGTGCCTCCAGTACAGGGGAGGCCATCTGACAAGCTTCAGTATGACCCTAGCACACTAGCAGTCCTGTCTCAGAGAGTCTGTTTATGAAGGAATAAATGCGTGCAACATACTCTATAATTTTTACCAAAAATTATTCAAATAAAACCTAAGGACATTTTTTATCGCTGTGTTTCACATGCAGAGAGTGATCAATAAATTATTAAAGTAATTATTTGTTAGGCATGCATCAGCTGCCAGAAAAAAAGATCAATTTATGTAGAACATCCTGGTTCACCAAGAGGCCAGAAATGTGAAGCAGCATTGCATATTATAATTACATTCAATGTTTGAAATAGAAGCAGACCAAATCAATACTCATGTAAATTCTTATAAAACTCAATAGAAGTTTAGAAAAACGATCTTTTCAGTATTGAAAAAAATTCAGTCTTGCTATTTTTCCTCCAGAGGATTACTTTCAACTAGGAGGAGATTATTGTGTTGAGCAAGCTTGGGCCAAGAAATGTGACAAGTGTGAGAATTGAGGTTCCCTGCAGGGCTTGGTATTGTAGCAAGTGAGGGTTGTGACCAGATAGCTTCACTCCTTAATTTGTTTTGGCTCTGGGGGGCAAGGTTTCAGAGAGCTGGTATCACTCAGTCTGGCTCAGCCACCTCCAGGTCCTCAACGGCCAGCCTCCAAAGTCCAAAGTCAGCAAGGGATCTAAGGAGTGTGTGAGAAGAAACCACACCTTTGCTTTACAGCCCTGAGAATGCAGAGACCTCAGTGCAGGAGAAAGGGAGCCCCGGGCAGGCGCAGCAAAGACACTGGCTCCCCATTTCATTTGATCAAAGTTCACATCTAGAAAAGAAGCCACCAGACTTTATCTTTAAATACTACAAAGTTCTTCTTCCCATTGCCCGTAGACATTCATTTGAAAAGTGTGTGACCTGAACTTTTCCCACCAAATCATATTTTCCTAATGACTAAGTATCATTCCACAAATGCTCTATTCTCATTTCAGATTCATCTTCACTGGTGTTCAGCACTTCGGCTTTCAGTCTGCTACACTTTGCGTCCCCTGAATAGCCAATAATGAGTGATCATTAACAAACCATTAAATATACTGAAAAAGGAACTAGTTAATGGAAACTTTGGCATAAAGTAAAAAAAAAATCTCTTTTCATCCCAATGAATTACTCTTCTAGTTGTAGGTTTTGCAAGTCTGTACCTTGTATATTGTCTTTCTTTAAAGTAGCATAAGCTTGTAATTGGAACATTCTTCAAGAAAAGTTCCCTTAATCAAGTCCCTAAGAAAAATAAGCTTGAAAAGCTGAAATCTTCTTTATTGCTAAAGAAATATTACTATTTTAGTTTTCTATAAAGGGTATGAAATTTCCATTTTAAAACTAAATGCCTACAATATCTTCTCTAAGGTGTGACAATTAGAACACTTGCTTTTGAATTCTAGTCTATGAAACTTCTATTATCTATTTTAACCACAGAGATTTAACATGTTAAAAGATTTGATTTTATCATTTTTGTAAAGGAAAATGTAAGCATCTTTATAAACATGAGACAGAGTTGTTCCTACCATAACTTTAACACAGACTGCGTCCATCACAATTTGTCCACAGAACGGCACAACTGATTGAAATGTTGTTTTTTCTGATGATTTGAAACCAGGCAGGATCAGGATCTGCTTTTCCAGACTTATCTCCTATTATTCCACCCCAAATGCTCAAGGTTCTTACAAGCAGGGCTGCTTATGGGTCTCAGAATGTAGCCAGCATGGGGCTGTCTTCACCTTGCGCTCCCACCCCCAATCTTATCCTAAGGATCTAGTCCTCGGGGACAGTCTCATTACATACGCCCACCCTCCTCTCAGCAATTGGATATGATCCCTAAATCCTGCAAATCTCCAAAGACAAGAAAGGAGAGAAGATAAAAGGGAAAAAGGAGAAAATGGAGAGAAACTTCCTTTAGCATTCTTAACTCTTCTATGGCAAAGAACTATTTTGCAAGGCAGAACTTTGTATTCATTCATTTGCTTTTTTGCCCTCTAAGAACAAAGGCTCCTTGAAGGTAAGTGCTATGTCGTGTCCATTTTTATATCTCTCATAGAATATGGGGCATGCCTGACATATAGTAGATGCTTATTATTCATAAAAGTCTTAAAAATATTGAATCCAAATAAATATTTCCGATCTTGTCTTCTACCTAAGAGAAAAAATTGATTCAGTCTCCAAACAGCAAGGAAGCAGCTAGTACTCCTCAGTGTGTGTCAGCTCACTGACCCTTCTGTCACACTAACGGTGACAGGTAGAGGAAGGAAGGGCTCCTTCCACGAGCACACTCTGCATTCGGCCCAGAGAAGCCAATGGCCAAGCACCATAAACAAGGTCCCCTGACGTTGGTGGTTTTGACTTCACTGCCTTACTGAGCTCCCTAGCTCATTAGGTCAACTTAAAGCTGCCTTCGCAGCAGTTCTGTTACTGTGCACAGCCACAAAAGGGGGCTGCAAGGCTGGGGCTGGGGACTAACTCCATATCCTCATGGGCTCCCCATCCCTGCCTTTTCTTCTTCTTATCACACTTCCTATCGCTGTGCGTTTATATTCTATCCACCAGTCAAGGTCTAGCTGAGAAGCCACCTGTCCACAAAACATGAATATCCTATATGCTACCACTTTTGCTCTAGATAAAGCATGTTCATATTTTATCTCCCTTAGTTGACTGCAAGCAAGTTGAAAGTTTAAGATTTTCTGATCTATCTTCTCATTCTTTATATTTCCTAGGACTTCAGGTGTCTAATAAATGTTTGGTTAATAGAAACTGTCATTTCCCAAAACTATTATTTAAAATAAGGGCATTCCTATAAAAACAACTGCACTCTTTGATTTATCAGCTCTTAAAGACCAATAGGCATTTTGCAGGTTAGTGAAGATGTGAACGGCAAACCGTCTCTAGAAAGAGAGAGACCAAAGACAAGTAATTTGGAATCTTAGGCTGGGAAACCAAAGGGAGGCAGGGAAGGTCAATACAAGAGAGTTTGGCCAATGCTGCCTAGCACTGGGCACCTTCTCTTACTGGTAGAAAGACCAAGACACCTCAAGAGTTCTCTGCAGGCCGGAGTGAAATTGAGAGGATCCATTTTGCTTTGGGATTGGGATAGCTCTAGATCAAACTGGGTCCTAACTGGAAAGCCCCTTAGCATGGACACTCAGGGCCACCCTGTAGCAGATCTGAATGCCCAGGTCAGCTCCATAACCAGACAGGTGCCCTCATGTACCCACAAAGCCAGAATACCCTAAAACCAATTCATCAAGTAGTAGTTGTTAAGTATCAGTCCCTAACCAAGACTGTTATATGTGATCTTGAACAAATCGTCTAAGCAGAATTACTTTAATCCTTCAGGATCTCAGTTTTCCTATCCATATGTAAAGTAAATGAAAAATAATACTTTATGTATATCCAGAGTTATTATGAAATTGAAATTAGATGATTTGCATTAAAGACACTTATAAAGAGGTACTACACATATATAAAGTGTTATTATTATTAATATATACCTACTATTGTTTAGTTATTCATTCCAGGGCATGAGAAACAATGTATCATTAAGCTCCCTGTGATCGCATGGTGCTGACAGCAATTTTTCATTACTGTGCTGCTACAACCTATGGTAAACTACTGCATTATATTCAGTCAATATACAACAGATGGTCTGAATCACCAAAGACAAGGAATTCTTGGTTCTCACAGCATCAGTGAAAATATACCTTATATGTAATTATAATTATACCAGTTGCAGAGTAACAGGTGAAATTGTATATTTCACCAATTAGGATTAAATGAAAGTGCTGAGCTCATTCTAGCATCTACCATACATGCCTTGCAAGAGCGATCAAGACATCTGGCTTGTCACTCAGATCTGTCACCAAAAAGCTGGTGGAACTTGTTCCTCTCAGGAACACTCAGTTTTCTTCTTCTGCAGAATGAGAATGCTAACGTATCTCTAATGTTCCAGTTATGATATTCTATGAGTTTTATTTATATGCACAAAGTCCTCTGATTTGACTCATAAAAGTCATAGAGGAATGCAGAGCTTCACTAGCCTTGCACAGCATACCTTCCATACAAGTGCTTTTCTGTTGCAAAACTTGCCGTGGGTAATATTTAAAAGCTAAGATCAGAGAGCCATAAATTGTAATCCAGTGCCAAAAAGTTCAGCCTACACAGCACTTTACATTTTGCCATATAATTATAGGGCACATGCTTTATTTCAGGCCTAAGCAATAGAGGTCTTGCACAAAAGAGCTCATAACCTGCACCAAATAAAAGTATGTTCATTTAGTAGCAAGTTCTTCAGTTTCCATGTAATTACTATCTTAAACTACAGTATTACTACTGTATGATCTTATGACTATCCTGGCATGTCTTTGCTTCCAAGTTATAACATTGGATGTCTAGTAAATAATAGTGCATAGTGGAAAAAACTAGCTTGAAATTGCCTTATAAGCTAAGACAGTTGTCTCCAAATCAAAGCAAGTTTTGCTTATGGTGGTGTCATGTAAATTATCTTTCCAAAAGCTTTATATTTAATATAAACAATGCTGTTATGGACCTCTTCTTCTCCATCAGGTTGCCTTTGGTGGGACATGTAGATGCCTGAAGGTTCTTCTTAACTTCAAGAAACATACGTGCACGTTTTCCCAGAGATGTGAGAGGACTCCGTTGGTTGGATTGTTGGAATAGGTAGTAATAATTAAAGACTAGCTTTAAGATAAAAAGAAAAGATGGGATAAAATAAAGATAATTTCTGGAATTGCATAAGACCAATCTCAAAAAGGGAACTGGACGGATTTCATATTTTACATGAAGCTCAGGGTCATAAATTCTTATTTCTATTCTCTCTTTAATCCCAGCACAGTTGAGGCACAAGCAATGCGCAAAATAAGGTAGAGTGACTCTGTCAAGTGTTCGCTATTCCTTTTTATCAGCAATTTTAAAAGAGAAGATAAACCCTGGCCAACAGTTGCCATCTTCACTCAAACCCCTGTGGCTCTCTCTCCTCTCCTCCTGTCCCATCCCTAGCTACCTCTCTTTCTGGCTTCATTTTTATAACACATAACAAACACAGTCTTGAAAGTCTCCTTACTTGAAATTTCCTTCTGAGACCATTCTGAAAGGTTTATCTTAAAACTGTTCTTGGATTTAAAAAAAAAAACTAAATATTGTACAGCCTGATACATTACAGATCTGTTTTTGACAAATAAGCAATATTCAGAACCTTCATAATCTTCTCAGTGAGTTGTGACACCATTTGTGTAGATAACATTCGATCTTTAGTAGCCTTGCCAATGTGCCCCTTCAACCCTTAGGATACTTCTTGAAGAGCTATCCTCTATCAGGGAACATCGAGTGGTAGTTACACTGCACCGAGCTGAATATGATCCAGTGGTCCTCCGAACAATGCCAATCCTCCTTTCTCTGAGAGACAGAAATGCATGTAGAGTTGCAAAGAATCAGGAACGGCTAAGGGGATGAGTGAATGATGGTGGTTCAAATGTATAACCTTTTAAAATGTAAATGAAATGTATGTTTTTCCTATAGCAGATACATATGAACATAATATTTCTATGTGTAAATACACATACAAATATAAGTACTATGTATAGTTCTAGTCACACTGGCTCTCTGGGGAAAAGTGCAAACTTGGGTGACATGATGCTTCTTACTGGACCAAAAGCAAACAGGGTCAAAGTCATCTGCCAATATCAAGAATTGCTACGCCAAGGGCTCAAATGCTTGAGCAACAGGGGTAAGACCCTTCAAGCTTGCAAATCCTAAGCGTATCACCCTGGTCCAGTTAGAGACACCGCATTCTTTACCTTGTCCACCTGTGATAGACATTTGCACACGGCCCTTCAACGTCAGAAGTACCCACCTGGTGTCTGTTCAGGTGTCCCACCGAGAGCTGGAGCAGACTGCTCATGCCTGGTCAACCTCACAGCTTAAAAATCAACAACAACTCTATTTAAATAAACATTAAAAACAACTTGAGCCTAGAAAATATACTCAGTGCTAAATGTACTGGATAGCAGGGGCAAGTTTACATTTAGTTTTCCTGTTTGTAATTAACATCACATAAAAGATGTTTATGTCACAAAAGCTTTTGTGGGTTTATTTGAATCACAAGAACATCCTTCAATGTTACTTCAACTCTTAATGTCATGTGAATCAATTACCAAGAAATAACAATAAATTAATTTTATATCCCAAACTGACTGGTTAGGTTATTAAAAAGCTGGGAAGTTCATATAGAAATTGTAATTTATTTAATATAGACACTGGTTTCTAGACTCTGACTCGGTTTCAATGGGGGCCTAGTGCTACTACATGTTATTCTTAATTGGCTGCCTGTTACTATCTTTCCTCCCTGAAATACTGGATTATTGATTGCTTAAAGGGCTTTCATAGACTGTTCCAAAGTTCAAAATGCCACATTTCCATAGCTTGTCATAAAATAGAGAAAAATGCAATAAATCAAATCAAATCATATTTATGACAATGGTTATGTCATATAAGGCTGTCTTCTAATAAATGCCAATGAAAAAGCAAATCTTTCAGCTTCTGAGAGAATAAGAAATATGTTTGATGGTGCTATTTTATTAACTCCACAGCAGTTATTTAAAAATTAAATTCCTTAATAAATGTTACAAGTTAGTAATATATTTAAATATACGCCATCACTAATACTGTGATTTAGTTATGAATTTTTAATTATTTGTCATTCATGAGCCATTGCTAATCATTAGAGTTCATTTAGTCATTTGGTAATTTAGGAAAAACTTTGCTCTCTTTAAAAGTGCAATAAAAGACCTTTCAAAAACATATATGGCTATTTTTTAAGTTGGCAATGAAGCTTGTTTTTATTTATAAATTTTCCAGTGAAGATAGGCAGGAATTCAACTTCTCCTCAACCTGATATTTCTTCTTCAAAAGCAATCACTGGTTTTGGTTTGTCTGGAGGTATGTTTGGCTGCCTTCCTCAAGCATGAAAAGAAAATGCATTACCTCCTTAGCAGCCATGGGTTCTTGCCAAGTCTTACGCAGGACGCTCTTAGGTTACAAGGCTGGTGGTGCAAACCCTCATGTCCTAGGACTTGGGAGCAAACGCTCCTACATTTCAGGCCAAGAATCAGTGGATTTGCTGCCTTCTCCATTTCAAAACAATCCACTGCAGGATCAGGGCTTGGCTTGAGCCACAAATGGAAAAAAAGCCACCCACGGCATTGACATCCCCTGGGGTGACCCTCTAGGGAATCTGAAGCCCAAACCTGCTGAGTGAGCTCAGTTAACTAAGTATGCTACTCTCAGTGAACATTCAACAAGACAAGCCAGCCTCAGAAAGACATTAAACAGATTGAAAGGAAGGACGGAAGGAGATACTCAACGAATTTTGGAGGTTAGGGTCTCAGGGAGGGAAAGCGCCCTCTTGGATTCCACCGGCCCTTTCACACTGTCTCTCAGCGAACGCACGCTCTTCTGGCGGTTCCTGGCAAAACGAGCCCGCTTGATCTTCCACAAGGCTGCGTCACTGAGGTTAGCGACGTTGGTCCTCACAGCGGTGATCGCTTTCCAAAAGGAATTAGAGGTCATCATTTTTCTTCACCAGCTATGTAATGCAACTAGTTTGAAATCCGTCTGTGTATATTTTCAATATTAAAACACAACTCTCATGGATACATGAATTATTCATCTCCCTCTAAGATGAATCGTTAAAAATCATGACCGTTGCCTATCATGATGATCACCCATCATTTTTCTGTTTAGACCATAAGATTAAATTATCTAATCTTTATTATCACTGGATAAATAATTGAGTGACCAAAGTCTCTTTCCATCTACTTAGAGCTGCAGGTAACTGATTAATAGGCATGCAACAGTGAATATACAAGGTGCAAATATATCTCACAAAATTGCTCACAAACATTATAAATGTGATAATTGAATCATGGTTAAGGAACACACATCACCAATAGTTATCAGAGGTCTTTAAGGAGATGAGAGTAGTTTTGATTTTGAAATGCCGGAAAATAGTTCATCTAGGGATTACTACAGTGGTTATTCAATAAACATGTGATGATCTGAGTACATGAAGTCAAGGTATCCTCCATAATGGGAACTTAAACTATATGCAAAGTATCTTCTGCTTATCTAGCAAGCACAAGAAATAGAACTGCAACTATTTAAAAAGTCATTGTTTTGCTTACTTGTAGGAAAAGGAAATTCTTTGTTACAATCCAAATGCAGCTGAGCTTCCAAAGAAAGTGTCTCAAATCTGTTGACAAAGAACTCCCAGCTCAAAGCAGGAATATCTTGCTTAAGAAAATGCAAGAGTAGGAGCTTGCTCAATATTGTGGGTCGGTCTTTAACTACAGTATCAAACTGGAAGTCAAGACAAAGACACAGACCCTGGGGAAGGAAAGGGGAGAAAAAAGGTAAATCACATGTAAACACCAAAGTTACTCCAAAGCAAATACACTAAGCAAAGTCAGTGAAACCAGGCAACCTCCTCGATCTATACTTTTACATAGAATAATCCAATCGAAACATTTTTTGATTGCAAGTTTTGGTAGGAAAAAAATGCAGAAGAACAGCTTCTCCTAGTTGTAGAATATATCTTGAACTGTAGACTATCTCATGAACTAAATGTATGTTATTGATTTTCTGATGCAGTAATTAATAACATTTAATTCAAATACCCTCCAATCAATATTTCTTTTTTCAATTAGCTTCTATTAAGAGTGGATACTTCCAAATCTACATTTTAGAATACACAGAAGATGGTCTTTCAATTCCCTTTCAATGCTAAATTCCATGATTCTAAAAGAAAGTAAATCATCTTGTCTTTTTTTGGAATGTGAGTAGAATGCAGAATCTTAAAAACCCAAAGCTGGAATGGATTCACCATCTATTTCTCTAGTATATGAATTTACCATTCCCCTTTTTTACCTGAATGAAATTTAAAATGCACCACCTGTCCTATTCATTCATTCAACTCATCCAATGAGTGCCTGTATGTTCTACACCCTGCAGGAAGGGACATACAACTAATCTGTTGGTCAGATTAAGACCAACAGAGGAGGACTACTCAGGCGACAACTGGGATTTTTTACATGGGAAGGTGGGAGCCCACAGGAAGCATAACCTTACAATTTCTCAGATCCTGCACAGCTTGCCCTTTCTTCTTAGTCTCTTTTACAGGAAGAGCCCTTACACTGGATTAGGAGGCAGTGTACGAACAGACCCAGACCCAGCCACAGACACAGATAAAGAACAGGGACTTTGTTATGAGTCATACCTGAGTTTTCTCTGCCACTTACTATCCGTGAGATTCAAAAAGAGTTACTTAACCCTTCTACCCCTCATTCAGCTTCTCTATCTTAAAATGGGAACACACAAAAGGTTATTGTGAGGACCCAATGGCATAATGCATGTGGGACACTCCTGAAACACTGCCCTGGAAACACAGTACCTATTTGACAAATTTTAGCTCTTGCCATTATTACTAGGTTAATTATAATGATACATTAATAAATCAAGTGCCAATGTGGATAAGCAGTAGATCAGAATTTTGGAGGTTCTAGTCTTTGTTCTCCCACTAATTCACTCTGTGTCCTTTGACATGTCACATTATCTCTGAGACTGGGTTTCTTCAACTATAAAATAAAGGTACCAAACAAGATAAAATATACAACTCTCTCCAGGTCTCATACTGTGTGTTCCTATGTGAATGTCCTAATTTGTGGTGCTTCATTTCAGTAGCAGATTTATCTTCTCATGTTTCACTCTGATTTATTTTACAAGTCATACAATCTCTCTTAGCATCGGGCCTCTAATGACAAGCACTTCCAGCCCAGGAGCCAGCTAAATGGTGTAAGATAAACCAGCCTCGATAAAAAAAACCTGTCACAGAAAACAATTATACAGTAACTGAATCTCTCAGAAGTGATACCAACACACGGATAAAGACTGAAAAGAAAGCATCAACAAATACAAACAATAGGTGTGTTCTGGGACAACAGGTGTGGTTCTGGGGTGTTATACCCCATTTAAAAATTTCTACTGTTAGCAGCAGCATTGTATGTGCATATGTGACAATATTCAATGATTCAGTGGAGCAGAGCAGGGCACAGTCCACAGAGCAGTTAACACACATCTGAGGGTTTCACCTGCAGTGCTGGCCTCTTTATGGTGTCAAGCAGGAGACCAGCCCTGGTGGCCACTGCTGGGTTGACATCCTCCACAGCTGTCAGAAAGCAGCAGAAGGCATGTGCCAGGGAATACTTCAGTAGATGGTTTTTGGTCACTGAGTGAATATCCAGAAATCTACAAATTACAGCAACTTTTTCCACTGCAATGTAAAAGGCAGAGGACAAAAAAAAATGAGACTTATTTTAGAGACAGTCTGAGAACTGAATCCACAGAGACTAAGTTAATTTTGGACCCCTTCCACACTAATTTTAAATGCCAAAAGGAAATTCTAATGTCACCTTCACAAGTGTTCTGTTTCATCTGTGCAGCAGAAAGTGTTTTTACTCAGGGTAGTACTTTTCTCCCAGGCAGCCTTAATTTAGCTCTGAGTTGTTTTCTTTCTTAATGGTCTTTTCCATTGTTTAACATCCAGCTGCATTTCAAACTATTCAAAATGCCTACAAGCTCATTTCTTTGTCGAGACCATAGGGGTTCTACAAACCACATAGGGTGCTGGGAGGTGCCTACTAGGCCAGGCTCTACACTCTAGATCCCCTACTCCACTCTTAGTATGTCATGATATAAAATAACAATCAAACAGACTTCCTGGGACTATAGAAGCCACATATTTCTTCCACAAAATAGGTGCATGTCTACTTGATAGATTTTTAATTATTCAGCAAATCTGTGCTAAACAATTCCAGCCACTCTTAAAACATAGTTCTATTAAAAGTTAGTCTGTGAAGCCATATAGTGCCATGGAAATTAAAACATCTTAGTGCCTTGTTTAAGCTGTTCCAAGCAATCTAGAATATTCTTTTTATTTCTGTTTACTGACATTCTACCTGTTCTGTAAAGTCCACTCTGACCTCCTAGAGTGGCCTTTTCATCCCACAAACTCCTGCAAAAATACTGTTCATTTACATATGACATTTGTGTGCTCACACATAACTATATGACATATCTTCTCTGTGATCTTGACCACATTTATACCTTTATAGTTTCTTTACCTCTTACATGTTTATAGTTGTTCTCATCAATTAAATTAGTAGCTTCTCAAGAGCAGGAATCTGCTCTTATACTTTTTTTACTGGTCCCTTAGTGCATAGTATATATAGTATTTATTCAATAAATTTACTGATTCACTTATTTTTATAATATGTATTAAGTATATATGTATGTGTATATATATATATATATATAATACTAAGAAACTATCCCAGGTACTTGGAGGAAGATGGAAGTAAATGGAAAAATGAATTGTTATGGACTCAATGTTTGTATCCCTTCCAAATCCATCTGTTGAAGCCCTAACCTCAGTGCGATGGTATTTGGAGGTGGGGCCTTTGGGAGGTAATTAGGTTCAAATGAAGCCATGAGGGTGTGTTTCCCATGATGGGGATGGTATACTTATCAGAGGAGGGAGAACAGAGCTCTCTGTCTCTCTGCCAGGTGGGGACACAGTGAGAAGGCAGTCCTCCACAAACTAGGAAGAAAGCCCTCACCAGGAAACATACCAGCCGGCACCTTGATCTTGGACTTACAGCTTCCAGAACTGTGAGAAATAAATTTCTGTTGTTTAAGCCACCAGAGTATTGTATTCTGTTTTGGCAGCCCAAGCAGACTGATAAATGTATCATTCTCAGTTTGACTTCAAAGTCAAGTTGACTAAGAGGTAAGACATGTATGACTATAATGGAAATGTAATATAAAAAGCTATAAATGCCGCTGAGGAGGTTTAAGTAAAACACTGTAAGAGATCAGGGGATAAAGAAATGACTTTTCACCAAGGGAACCTAGAAGGTGGAACTCAATGGTGGCATTTGAAGGTAGATCAAAGGGAGGTGGCACTTGAATGGGACACCGAAGGGAAAAGGATTTCAGGTGGAGAGCACAGAATAGCCAAGACATGGATGAGATGGATGAGGTGAAGCAGGAAGCAGTGGGGAGATGGCAACAGTACGTACAGAGAGGAGAGTGGGAAATGAGGCTGCAAACACTTGCAGTTAGACCCTGGGAGGCCTGACTGTCAGTTTAAGGAGTCTGAACTTTATTTTTCAGGCACTGAAACCCACTAAAAATTTTTTAGTAAAAAGTGACATAATCATAAAAAAAAAAGTGACATAAGCAGAGCTGTGATTGACAAGATTGATCGGGCAACAATACAATCCTTAAACTGGTGCGAAAGAGCATAGTTAGATATCTATCCTTTTTCTTGTGGTTAAATGCCTGCAAAATGCTGCCAACATCATGTAGTTTTTTTCCTAGAAAATTTTACCTTAATCTGATTTCCTATATCATGTTTTCATATAAACCAGCCATTTGGAATTCATGGGGCATTAAAAGGCAAGAACTCTTTGAGGTGGCCAGATATTAGGGAACTGAATTTTAAAGTATTATAGTTAACTCACCAGAGGGAACTTCTATTTCTCTGCCAAATGTTTGAGACACTGTAACATACAGAACCATTCTGGTAAGTCACACTGTGGCATGCAGACCTTGCTGGATGAGCCCAGAGACTGGAGCAACAGTGAAGCCAGCAGACGTGAGGCTAAGAGAAGACATCCAGGTGCCCTCCTCATCATATTCTTATAAGAACTTGCCACTCTAAGCACTAGGAAATTAAACCTATCACTGCACTAGACTGATCTCTGATGCTTCAGTGGCAAGGGTATAACAGCAGAGATTCTCAGATTTCATTGAATTACCTGGAGAACTTATTAAAAATGTAGATTCCTGGCCTCCCTTCCAGAGATTCTGATTCAGTAGGTCTAGGATGAGGCCCGATAATATGCATTTTAACAAACATTCCCAGTTACTTGGATGCAAGTAACCTATTACGTTGACTATTAATTAATCATTCATGCCAGGATGCATGAGAGTAAACAAGGATACAATTAATAAATATACCTGGACAACAGACATAAACTGGGGCTATCCTTGGCAAGCCTCGATAAGGTCCCCCTAAGGACCAGCCTGCAAGATACCATTCTAGAGGAATGTCAGCTGGTAGAACCACCGAAGCCCACTAGCAAGCAAAACAATGCCTGGACATCTGGTTTACCTTATGACCCAGAGAGTTTTTAAGCTAATACAGAGGTACCTGCTTCAAACCTCATCTTCCAGTCTTTGCTGTTGAAATTGCCGTTTATGATTGTCCAGAAGATGTCAGCACCATGAGGAAGTGACAGAGCATGGAGAAGGAGAGGAACTGCCAATGAAGATAGCTGGGAGAACTCGGACTTGACAACTCTCCACAGGCTGAGGAATCCAGGAGAGGCAACGTGGTTACAGTCATGATAACCTTTCTAGAAAAAAAGCGCTATTATCTTAATTTATGGGAAGTATAGTCAACAGGTGGCTGGTAAGGATGCTTCTGGTGAAATTACACCATCCACAAGACTATAATCCTCTGGTAAACTTTTTTTATGCTCTGTTCTGTTAATTTTTTTAAGAAATTGCTTTTATGTAACAGTGTGGAAAAACACCACTTAACATTACACTTTTCACATAAAAATCAGAAATTATACTTTATAAGTTTAGGTATATAAGGGAACAATGTTAAATAACATACAAAACTGATATCAGTCATGTTAAGATGATAGGGTGATTAGTGATTTTTAAATTTTTCTTACAGTGAACATCTGGGCAGTTGTGTTTGTTTTCAGCTTTTCCCTTTTATTCTAGCAAAGAGCAACTCTTTTTCTATTAAGAACAACCTCTCCACCAACTGGCAAGGCTATCAATCAAGGTCCCCCACCTTCCCAAGCATAAGAGTGCACACAAACCCAAGGCTCATATAAATACTCTAATACTATAGGTAGAGTGGTTAGTCTAGGAGTGGGCACATGACCCAAGCATGCCAGAATCCTTTTCTCCAGGTACTGATACGAACTCTGGAAGAGAGTGGATCTCTCTCCTCCTAAAATCTCAGGAATGAAGTGCAATGTTAGTCTAGAGCTGCTAGTAACACTCCCGCCTCACAGAGACAGCCTGCTGAGAAGCCAACACAGATGGAACTAGGCTAAGTGATGTGGAGGGAGGGAGTTAGGGGAAAGGGGAGAGGGAGAGAGAGAGAGAGAGAGATCCCTAGAAGCATCTTGCGAGGATGAGCCATGCCTAAAACCAGACCACTAGTGGTCAGCAATGTACCTTAGCAAGTTTAGCTATGTCCCATTAATTTCTACCACAATAAGTCTGAATTATATATTTGTAGTAATATATAATTGGTTTCAGAAATCTTGTTCAGTTATTTAAAGTATGCCTTTTGTTTTTGTTGTTGTTTTGTTTAGTCTATTTGGCTCCAGAATTAGTATCAGGATTTTTGTGACACACAAAATAATTGTGACTTTAAAAAACTCATCATGCACCACTAAGATGGGAGGAGTAATATACATTATCTCCATATGTATCTACATATTTTACAGAGAACATAATGAGGTACAAGTCAGCAGTGTTTTGGAGCATACTTAGAGCTATGAAATGAAAAGGAGCAATTTTCAAACACTCTATGCTCCATCTGAGTAATGGAAACCAGACAAGCATGGATCTCATGCCAACCCTGCCATTAACTAGCTTTGTAACTTAATCACGTGTAATTTCTTAACTTCTGTGAACTTGCATTTCCTCCCAATACTTGTGGTATTAAATGAGATGATGCACAATGCTAAACACATAGTAGGCATTCAGAAACCTCAAGCTACTGTTGTGGTCATGAGGCCAAAGATGATGTTCCCAGAACATAACACTAGGCCCCGCGAGTAAGGCACAGGAAAAACAAGACAGCACTGTGCCCTCATGGGACTTTGAGTTGAAAGAAGGCAAACCATATACAGCATTGCTAGAAAACCATTTCAGTGACAGAAACCCTGGATTTGGCCAGTCCCATTTAGCTTTCCCAGCAATCTAAGGCATCTTTGTTTGAAAAAAGGAAGAGTGTCTTTTCCCCAGATCTCTTCATTGTCCATTATGGCTTTTACGTCAGCGTGGTACTTTGAGGACAAAACCTGGGCTAAGTAGCCCAAAGGCCAACACAGAGAAGTCATGGTCACAATAATCCATTTGGCCCAGGTACGTATGGCCTGTGCATGGGTTGCTTTAACAACAGAAGTTGGCCCACTTTGTAGCCCCACTCTCACAGAGTGGACAGAGCTTCTGCCCAACTCCTGTCCCCTCATCGCTTTTGTCTAGTCTTGCTGCTTGTCTCCTCCGTCCCACCGCTCGTTTCAGATCAGTCCTACTCTTTCGCACACCCAAGCACCCGTGTCTACATCTTCCACCAGCAACTTCCGTTCCACCTGTACAGTCCCCACTTTATTCAAAGGAAGCTTTTTGAGATCCTTCGCCTTTCCCACGGTATGATTCTGTACTGGGTTGAATGGTGTCCCCACCCAGAGGTATTCATGTCCACCTGGAACCTCGGAATGTGACCTTATTTGGAAATAGGGTCTTTGTTTCTTGTTGACTCCCTGCTGCGTTCCTCACGTGGGCTGTTTCATACCTTTCCCATGTTCCTCAAGCTCCCAACCCAATCTCTATCCTTGTCCCTCTCAGGAGAAGACATCAATACCTACTCTTCTTAAGGTTTCAGTCACCTGTTATAACCCCTTGACACTTCACTTCTCTTTTCCACACAATGTGTCTCCCGTCAAAGGCAAGAACATCCCTCTCTTTTCCACCCACCCCTCGTTTCATTGCATCCTCTGGTCTTCCAGAATCTGGCTCCACCAACTAACTTTCCTCTAGTCTTTTCCACTGACCAAAAATATGCTCGTCATCTTTATCCTAAAAATCCTTGACTGCCACTCCTTTTCCACTCTAAGTACCTGATCTTCCCCATCCTTTTCTAACAGACTTTTCAGAAGAAGGTTCTGTGTTATATCTGTATGTTCCCAAAGCCCTTGCAACATACTCTTTGCCCTTAATGTGGGTGTTTCCCAAGGATTTCTTTTCTCCATACGCTTGCCGTTAAAGTACAACTCTGCCCCTGTTCATTGTTTTAAGATCTCCCACACGTCTCCAAACATCATTAAGTAAAGTTTCTATCTCCGAGGCCCTTCACACTTCGGTCCCAACCTACTTCCCAACTCATTTTCCATTCCCCTAAGACCCATGCAGCAAAAAAAAAAACCTTGGTATCACCTAAGTATGCCCTATCATTTCTTGTCTCTTCCTTCCAACTCTGCCATTTGTTAACTCTGGGAATTTCTACTTTCCACAAAATGTCCTGCCCACCTCAAATCTCTACCTGTCAAGTGTCATCATTATCTCAGGGCCCATTCAAACAGTACCTGCTTTGGAGCCCTTCTCTAATCATCCAAGAAATGACCTCTGCCACCTCTGAACTATACAAGGTAGTCATCCCATGACACATCCCTTGGGTTGAGAGTGACTCATATATTCACAGGGAGATCATGTATCTTAGTTTATCCAAGATTTTAGTCCACTTTGCACTTACTGTTTTGAGGTTACTTATAAAGATCACCGATTCTTCACTCTCAAAAGTAGACCACAGTTGTGTGGTCACCTTCTCTATACATAGTATTCACCCCCTTCCAAACTAGATTGTAAAGTCCCAAAGTACCTAGAATAATAACATATATAGTAAGCCCTCAATAATATTTATTGAATGAATGAATAAATAAAAAGACAAAATGAGTGAAGACAGATAGAGCCTCAACTTGGTTTTATCCCAAAATAACATGAATCAACCTTTTCTTTTTTTTATCACCTCATTCTCTTTCATAAAAAATGAGGGCAATATTCTTCTGACTCATTTTCAGGAAGATTGTAACAGTTATTTTAAGATTCCTAATAAGAAAAACACTACATAATCCAAGGAAATATTTTATTATTTTCCTCAAAATGCTTCAGCAGTCTCTAAAAAATACCTTACCAGAGAATATAAGGAGAGATTTTGGATGGCTACTAGCAGCTCTATTTCAAGTAAGAAATTGAGTAAGTCTATTCAGTCCCACTAGGTAAGTATTAACTAAGCACCTGTTGACATTCTTCTAGGGTGCACTGTCTTCCTAAGCCATCTAACAACTGGAGGGCATAAAATCATCTTTATTTTGCCTTTTCTATTCTACAGCATTTAACAAAGAAAATTATTATTTCGCCTCTTGACATACTTAAAAATGAGACTCAATAAAAGAAACAAAAGCAGTTCCCATTGGCAATTAGGCTGTCCTGGCTAAGAGAAAAAAAACCAAATAAGTTGGTAAGTCTTACCCTAACTTTGATTTAAAGCCTAAAATAAAAATGAAAAAATCATAATCTCTTAGGAGACATACCTTGCAATCAACATATGATCCTGAATATAGGCTAAAAATTGAGGATGATCTTTTCTAGCAATGTATAAACACTCTCCATGTAGACAGAGAATCTTCAGGCAATTGAGCATATTAAAAAGAATGTCTGGCTCTTCAAACTTGGCCATTTCCTATGCAAAGAACCACACAGTTACTGATTGATCGGAAATAGCAATGGCACCAATCAAATATTCAAATATTTTAAAAAATATACCTGGAAAATGGTGTATATTAGTCTCAAAGTTACTGGAAGCTGTTGATAGCAAAACTTCCTTTCCGTATCATTCTTTATTGCTGTGGAGAATTAATTACACAAAGGTTAGCCTGACTCCTCCTTTCTCCACCATCCATGCACTGAACAAGCCCATAAAACCAAGAGGAGAAAAAATAGACAGAGGTTATATTTAAAAAGTGTTTATGTAACATATTCATTTGCTCTCCAGGTAGAATATATCCCTTTTATGATGCAAGTGCAGGAAACCTTCTAGACCCTGGATTCTCAGCTTCCATTTTCCACTGGGAGCCCATCATATATTTAGATGTCCAGCTCCCTGAAGCAACCCCACCCCAGTTCTTGGCTCCCAGGGGCAGCTAATTCTGCTGCTACCAGGAGGGGCCTGGGGCCTGGCTAAGCACATCTTCCTAACTGAAAAGGAGATAAGCAGGTATTAAAGGGAGGTATTCAGGTTGCAGAAGCACCTAAGGAGGGATTTATCTCACAGGCTCACACAACAAGGGAGTGTTCAGAAGAGGTTGAGCATATTCTAATCAGAACAGCTACTCATGGTTTTATCTTCTGGTGATAAAGGAACTCTAAAACCTTTGCCCCTATGGTAGAGGGTGACAGTACAGTGTATGTGAGGCATGCTAGAGAACAGAATTCACAAGTTAACCAGATTTAGACACTAGTGTAAAATGTTTTCACATCACCATTGTAAGTGTGGCAATTCCTAGGATCAGAGACAAGGAGAGTGAAACTCTCTTGGCACATACACTAAACAGTTTATTAGGAATCTTCCACTCTGGTGTATTTAAATACTTGTTATCAGCACTCAACTCTATTTTGCCTAGTGTTAAGGTTTTTAAAGTATTTTTAGTGGAGGACATATCTGACTGCTTTTAGAAATAGGCTCCAGGCCACAAAATGCAGAAAGAGGAAATACTCTAAAAGTAAGGAGAAATCACTGAGCCTGTGTCAAGAGCACCCATTTGTTCTGCCAGAGGAGCTCAAGACCACCACCTGAAGACCCACAAAGCAGAAGAAGGGATGCTGAGCAGCAGGGAAGGATGGTCCTGGAGGAAAATTAATGGAGGCTTCCCTGAGGAGACCATTTATAACCACGTTCTGTAAGATAGCAGAGAGTGGGACAGCCCAGAAGCTGTGACAGGAGCCTGAAGTAGCATTTGACCGAGAAGAACAGAGCAAATGTTTACGTAAATGGAATCTACAGCAATTAAGCAAGGAAAAGAGTAATTTATAAAAAGAAATTGGTTAATTTTAACCATTGTTCAAATAAAATATTACATATAAGTAAAAGTGGCAGTTAATTGTTTGTGTGCATATAAAAAGTACAGGTTATTGGATCCTTAACTCCTTTAGGCATTAATGCCCGATAGAAACACAGCCCAGGGCCTGGGCCTCAGCAAGTAATTAATTCTAAGTAAGCCAGGAGACCTGGGTACTAATCTCAACCTGTCACTAGCTAGCTGTACAGTATTTGGGTTTCCAATTCCCAGACCCTCAACCCAGATGTACCCAGAATGGGGGGTAGGCGGGTACAGCTCATTCATTTTGTTTGTGTTTCAACTCCTCAGACTATCCTGGTACTCTATTACCGTTCTAGCAGCTACTTAAGCATAAAGCATAAATTAGGAATGAGTAATACAAGCTATGCACCCATGAGCAAGTTGTTTAACCCATCTGAGATACATGTTCCTCCTTTGCAAAGGAGAAGGCTAAACTACATCAGCAGGTTTCTAACTTCTTTTCTATGGGACACTTTTTTAAATGAAAATCTTACTTAGGATTCTAACATCTGAAAGAGAGCAAGTCAGAGCACCCTGGTTGAAGCAGGGTAGCTGTTTGAGTCTTTACCGTTTGCCCACATCTTTGCACCAATTGCCACCCCAGTGAGGGAAGGTCCTCAGAAAGCGACACGGGGCCTGTACAACTCTAAGTACCCTGGAAACCAGTGAAGTAGGTCATCTCAGGTATTCCTTCAAATTCTAAGTTTTAATGGTTCCAAATCATGTGGGCCAAGCTATTCATACTCAACTGCCCACTTATACAATCCATGCAGAAGCAGTTAGGTCCAACCAAGCATTTTGTAGTAATGATGTCATTACCTTGCTCTGAATGACACCCAGGAGCTACAGTGAACCCCACACAACAGTCACTTAACAGTATTTGCTGTTCACTGAAGGAACAATGGAAAGCCCATGCTTTCCAAACTTTGGTTCTAGGGGTAGGCCTCCAAGGCACCAGCTATTCTAACAGTTCAGGACAATGGAAGCAGGAAGATAAAGAGCTACTCAGGTTTACTCCAGGTCCAGTACAAATTCCCAGAGTGTCATAGGGCCGATCTAGAAATCAGGCTCTCCCAGAGGCACGTGCAGTTACATCCTAAATCCCTGAAACTCCTTCAGAGTGTAAAGAACTAGAGCGTGATTCTGGCCTGCCTGCCGTCTTGCTGTCCCCAGTTAGCCCCCACACAGCCTTTAAGCAAACCAAAAACAGGCCATCCTTCCTCCCAGCTCTGAGCCAGGCCAACCAGCCTTAGAGCATAAACCGTGCAGCTATACATGTAGCCAGTCCAGAGAGCTGGTCAAGCCTCCTGGGCACAATCTGCATGAGCTCAAGTTCCATTACCTCCATCCCAAAACACTCTTGCTATGGCCAAATGCCCTAATTGGCTGTTGTGTCTCAGCACCCTCCACTTCAGCTGCTCGGCCCTGGTTCATAGCTACTTGTCCACAGAGAACAGGATACACTGTAAGTGGGAATTAATGCTTCCCACCCTAAAAGATGGGGTTTGGCAGATAAAACCAGCTCCAGCTGCCAGAAGGATGCCTGGTGACCTCTCTTCCACTAGAAGCATATCCTGGATCTGCTCACTTCATAATCTGGGGGGATATGGTTCATTTGCACAAGTCTACACTGAGGAAGCCAAGCCTGAACTTGCCTGAGTCTACAGCAACCTCTGAAACTGTAACCAGGGTTCCGACCATTCGGCCTGTGCAGAGCGGGATGTGCACACTGTTCACCCCCAGGAGCCGAAGTTCACCTACCAGCATGTTCCGTGGGCTCAGTGCGGTGGCCTGGGTTCTCCCCGTGCTTGGCTGCTGGATTCTCTTCCTCCTCACCTTCAGGGCCTATAATAAACTCTGGTCTGGAAGAAAGGAGGCTATCTTCAAGGCTGTCTGTGGGCTCCTGAAACAAATGTGACAAGCAGCCAGATGAGCAGCCCTTTGGGGATGTAAAAAACGGTTCCGCTGAGTTCGACAGAGATCGACTGAGTGCCTGCTGCGTTCAGCCCCTTGAGGCAAAGCTCCTGCCTCAGAAGAGCCTTGAGCTTATTTCCATAATGGCTTAAGGAAATTTGGATCAGTAATTTCTGAAACATTTTTCATTCCCTCGAAATAAATATGGAAGAAAATCTCAAAAACATTGTTAAATTTTCCTAGGCCTCCTTTCCCGTCTCTGCTTTAAGCCATGGGATCATGTCTCACTCACCAACTGATTCCAATTCATGCATACTTTGTACCATAATGGAATTTAAGCAGTAGGGAATAATAGGGGGTGTGTAGGAATATATTAAGATGCAAACACTGGCTGTCCAGGGAAGTCAACTCCTGGGAGCAAGAAGTGCTGGAACACGTGAGTTAAGGAGAGCTAGGCATGGGAGCCCAACGTTCATTGGCAGGTGAACAGATAGACAGAATGTGGTGTGTCCACACATGGAGGATTATTCAGACTTAAAAAGGAAAGAAAGTCTGACACACACAACAACGTGGACGAACCTTTAGGACACTATGCTAAGTGACATAAGCCAGACACAGAAGGACAAATACTGCTAAGAGCCCACTTACATAAGGTATCTACAGCGGTCAAACTCATAGAAACAGAAAGTAGAATGGCAGCTGCCAGGGGATAAGGGGCGTGGGGAATGGGGGAGTTAGTGTTTAATGGGGACAGAGTTTCAGTTTTGCAGGATGAAAAAGTTCTGGAGATTGATTTCACAACAATGTGAATGTACTTAACACTATACATGTGTATGTATATAAAACTAGCTGCAAAAATGGGTGAAAACGAGAAGACGGCAGAGAGCAGACAGTAGCTAGGGCTACCATTCAGAATATCCACCTCTAGTCAGCCTCCCATATCAGCTTTTCTCTCTCTTTCAAGTTCCACCTTTAAATATCCTCTTTTAAAAGCATCTTCATTCATTTAACACTTTAACCAGTAAGCATTTTTTGAAGAATTATTTGAGAACCAGCTCAAAGAAAGGAGACAAGGATTGATGGGGAGCAAGGACACCAAGAAGAAAGACAGGAGGATTCAAAAGGGTCGCTGGCAGGGCCCTGAAGAACACTTTGCCAGCTTTAGAGTTTTGCTAGGTCACCCACGAACAAGACACTGATCAAATTACATATATACCGAGTTTCATAAAATTCAGTACAGTGACAAGTTTCCTGCATACTGACTCCTCTGCATGCACCCAGTAACCCACATTTCTGGTATCATCCTCCAAGGTGGCGGGGATGGTGCTACCTGGCTTGCATACTAGCCCGAGCCTCTGCTACCCACCTCCTGCCCTCCCCCGGTCCCAGGAAAACAAGAGCCAAGGTGGCTGGTGCACACCGTGGAGACCACACGTCTAAGACAAAGCCCTCCTGCCCACTGCATCCCTCCCACAAAATGCACTCCTTTAGCTTCACCTCCAAATTTGTTATTGTAAGCACACGACAAATGTTACCAGCATCGTGCACATGGGTAATTGTTTCGATGGCTCAGTTTCTTCACCTTTATGCATACTCCTCCCCGTTTCATGGGACACAATGAAAACTGACACAATACAGAAAGCCTGCTGGGGATAGGGCAGGGGCTCAGGACACTCACCTCCACCCTCTTCACCCTCTCATTCTCTTTCTGAAAACAAAGTCTGAGCTTCATGTAGCCACATCCTCAGCTGATTTTGTCCTTAAGCCAGAGATGACTGTACTCCATGCTTACTACTGTGCCCAGGAACACAAGGGACTCCTAATTTTAGACTCCCCTGGGCATATTTCAGTCTTTTGTTCATCCTGTCTTCTCTGGACATGATCAGCTATTCCTTCCTTTTCTAAACTCTCTCTTATCTTGGTTGTGGAGTTGCTGCTCCTTCAGTTTTTCTCGTGTCTGGTCTTTTCTCAAGTATTTCTGGTCTTACTTCCCTGTTTTTCCTCTGAGGAGTTGGTGCTTCCCAGAATTCTGCTTTTTTCCTTTCTCATTTAGCCCTTTACCTTCCCATTCCACACATCCCACCACAACATGCTGGTCACTCCACACGTCTATCTACTTCTGAGCTTTCTCTTAAGAACCAGGTCCACAAAGTCTAAATGTGACTCATCATATCCCACTCCTGCCCCAAAATATCACTTCTCCGACCGCAGTAACAGTCTTCTGTAAATGGCAACGTCATCAGCTCCCAAGCCAGAAAACACAGATTTGGCCTCAGCCTTCCAGACCTACGTGCCAACTGCACACCAAGTGCTGGTGAGTCTCTCTCCGCAGAATCTGTCAGGTCCTGTGTCCCCTTCATCAACACTCCACTGCTTCGGCTCAGGCCCCCCGATTTTCCTGCCTGGCAACCACATTAGCCTTCTGATTAGATTCCTGTCCCAGTGTCCAAATCCTCCAATCTTTCTCCTCCACTGGCTGAATGAGTTTCTCAAATTCATCAAACTGTATCACCCCTTCGATTGAAATCCTTCAGGATTCCCCCATTATTGCCACGACAAAGATCCAAACTTCTCAGTTTGGCAGACAGAGGCCTTAAAAAAAATGTGAACATAAAACCGGGCTATCTTTCTCCCCTCCTTCTCACCGCTCTAGTGACACTGAAACACGTGTGGTTTCCTGAGCGTATCATTCCCTCCCTTTCCTCTGTATCATTTAAATAGAGAGTTTTCTGGGTCTCAAAAGTCCTTCTCTCCTACCGCCTTCACTCCATTAACTTCACTCCTCCTTCATATATGAGCTCAGGAGTCATCTCCTCAGGGAAGACCTCCGGGTGGCCGTCCCACCTCCAAGCCCATTTTTTGTCCCTTCTCTGTGCCCCCACAGCTGCCTTGGTCAACCTCCCACCGTGCCCAGCACTTGGTTTATGGTTTTCCTTTACTTAAACGTCTTCCTAACTAGACTCTAAGCTCTCGATTTTAATTTGTTTTCACATCATCTATTACTGTGACTGTTTTATGCTAAGTTCCCAATAATAATGTTAAGGACATACGACAAGGATGTTATTCTGTGACAGGTATGGACTAATGAGGTAAGTGGGCTGAAAAGCGTTTAAAAATTGAAGACACAATTCACTGAATGTATGCTTATACCACAGAACAATTTTTTTAAAAGTCACTTCCTACTTAAATAAACATCAGGGGAAAAGAAGAAAAAAAAACAAAAGATGGCAAACACTGGCTCAAATCATTCAAGTTCAGCTCCCTATGATGGTGCGATGGTATTTTGGTGATGTATTTGACTTAGAAAATAGGCTAAACAGAGAGGGATGTATGGAGTAGTTCATCGATGGCATATATTAGGTCCCTATTTAAACAATTTTCTTGGAAAACAGAGAATGAAATGAAAGTCTTACTGGTTGTTGATGAAATCAATGGTGGTTTTATAAACTGAGGTTATCTAGGAATTCTCAGTGGCCATTACCAATCTACTTACTCCATACTTGATATGTATATTTTGTAGTATTCACTGTTATATAAACTTTGTAATATAACTCTGTGATAAAAGTTATTTCAAGGATGCCAGTAATGCTTTGTATTTATGAAAACTGTGTGAATGGATGTGCTAGAACCCCAACTCGAGACTCGAGAATTCTGTATGATGTAACTCCATCTCACAGCTCTTTCCAGGAGCCTGAGTCGGTGGAAAGAACCGAAAAACTTTCTTTTAACACAGTCTCATGTATAACCCAGCATGGAACATAAGATAATATGAGAGAAGACTCCATTCCACAGCAAGTGAAGGCTATTCCTAATGGACATAGGTTATTTCATTTCTTCAACTGCTTACCACCAGCCGGCTTTCTTCTTTGGGAGCCAGTCTCTCCAGAAGTTCACAAGCAAGCTGATAGCAGAGAATACTAGACTGACATAAGTTACACTCAATTGCTTTTTCTTCCTTCTGGCAGGTGTGAGAGCCCCCCCAGGGGGCTTGGAAGACATTGTTTATAATGGAAATAATGTCCTTTGATAAGCTGTGCTCTAAACCCATGGCGATCCCATCATCTTGTAACTCCATCTGAAAAAGAAGAAAAAAAAAAAGAAAAGAAAAGAAGAAGAAGGAGTTTGGTCCTTTTGTCCAATATTCCATTGGCCCACTAACTGGGGACAATTTTCACTAACTGACAACAATATCATCTAAAGATGATAAGGCTTTATAGACCATAAATAACAACTGTTTTCCATGAATTCTTCTAAAAAAGAAATATAAACACAAGACAGCAGTTATTTTTAAAATCATGTAGAACATTAAAAAGAGTTGTTTTTTAAACTTATCAGTTTGTGAGATTTTATACATTTTAAAAATGCTTCTCCTCACCTAGTGTCCAGATTTAGTTTCTAAATACCATTATCCACTAAAAGGAACCAGGACTCCGTGGAGAAATGGCTGATTTCAGGATTGGGGCTAGGAAAATATAAAATGAGCCTGGAACATCTTGTCATGCCAGAAATTAAGAAAGTGTTTAAAGAATGTTGAGAACATATCAAAAGAACTCAGGAACCAGCTTGAAGGGACTCCCAGGGGCCAAATACGGGACACATGAACATCAAAATAAATAATCATAGTAACAGATTTTTTTAAATATGGAATGCTTCATGAATTTGGGTGTCATTCTTGCACAGGGGCCGTGCTAATCTTCTGTGTGTCATTCCAATTTTTAGTTTAGGCGCTTCTGAAGTGAGCACTCATAGTAACAGGTTTTAACCTACTGAATAAAGTAAGAATCCATGACTACATGCAGGTATAAGTTAGATAAGCAAATAAATATGTAAAGGAGAGAGAAGGAAAAACTGTCCCTTTGATAGAATGCCAGCTAATAAATTCAAAGAAATGATGGAATTAGAAAATTACCATTTGGTAACCATCACAGTAGTAATTGACTCAGGCATGAATCATCCATAGATGCAAAAACTAGTAGGTGAAAGTCTGCTGAGAAACAGGAAATCACACAGTCTGAAAGTATCCCTCTGCAAGTTACTTATTAGTTGCAAAGGAGAAAATAGTAATTTTGGAGTAGAGAAATCTGGCAGAAATCACCTTAATCAAGTTATCATCACCAGAAAGGGGACATTATCACTTTTTTTCCTCCTGATATGATGCCTTGGAAAGGACGTAACACCACATCTGTGATATTACTGCCAAAAATGCTTAACCCGAATTGATTCACAAGGAAACAGCAGACAAACTCAAATTGAAGGACATTCTACAAAATACTGGATTGTACTCTCCAACAACATTGAGAACATGAAAGATAAAAACTGAAGAACTGTCCTGGATTAAAGAAGACTAATGAGACAGGACAAATATTTGCAATGAAGGATGCTTGACTATATTCTGGATCAAAAACAATTTTTTTCTTTTGCAATAAAGATGATATGATTATATCAATTTAAAAATGAATAATCTCTGTAAGATCAGTAATAGATAACAGTATTATAACAATATTAATTTCCTGATTTTGATAACTGTATGTGGTTAACTAAGAGAAGGTCCTTATTTTTTAGAAAATAGCCTCTCAAGTGTTTAAGGAAAAAGAAATACGTTTGCAACTTACTCGTGTTTAAATATTCTACAATTCATTCATACGCATACGGACCAAGATAGACAGAAATATATGTGGTAAATGTAAATATCTGGAGAATTTGGGAGGAGAATATTTGGGAATTCTCTGTACTATACTTGCATTTTTCTGCAAGTCTGAAATTGCTTCAGAAGAAAAAGAAAAAATGTTCTCTTAACCAAAGCCTTTTAAACTTCTCTCTTAAAGTTACCTCAAAAGTTAATTAAGGAAATATATTAAAATAAGTCCCTCACTGTAGAGTTGTAACTTGCTCTTCCCAACAATTACAAGCATTACCTAGTTTGTTCACCAAATGTGTTCAACAGAATCAATTCTAATGATGCTAGGGTGTTTCTAAAGTTCATATCCATTCTCACATGTCAATATCATTGCAGATATTCATACAAGGACTTTCAGTCTCTTTAGGAAATCCCCAAAGGAGTTTGTGTAATGTCTTGAGCGACATCATTTCAGAAAGTGTGAAGATGCCCAACACATAGAAAGAATCACTATACATGTTTCCCTCCTTCTTCACCTCTGAACTAAAGGAAGCTCATGCTTCAGCTACCTGCTTCAGGAGAAGATCAAACATGAGGATGAAACAATTTAGATTCATTTCATCATCTTCACAATCAAAGTCAATAGTCCTTCCTCCTGGGTGTCCAAAATTCTTGAAAGGGCTACGAAATGGACTACGCATAGGACTCCGAAATGGGCTCTGAAAAGGACTATGAAATGGGCTCAGCATATTGTGCTGAATTCGTCGACCAGGATCAGAGGCAACACTCACCTACAAGAAAGAACATAGGCACACATAAGTGAACCCGCAGAAGCTCAAATGGCTGTTTAAAATAGCTGGGGAGTCTTTGGAAGGTATTTCCAACTGTTATACTGATTTCTTCCCTTAGCCGATAGATTACTGCCTCCAAATACTACGGATATTCTCAAAGTAAAAAAAATATGAAATAAAATCATCCAAAGTTTCTAATTGTCAGGTGATTGTCAGCACCCTGAAGAACAAAAGCAGATGTCTTTGCTGTTGTATTTTTCACCCCATAAAACATTATTGTGTGTATTTACCTAAAACCATAATCTGAGAAAGGAGAACTTACAGAAGTAAAATATTGCAAGATCAGTATTAGTGTCATAAGCACAGTATCTCAGTCTGACATGGCTGGTTAAAGAATGGCCTCCGGGTACTGTAACCACAAACTATCATGGGAAGGCAAGAGTGTCAAACATTTTGCACTGGTTTTTCTCCATCTGCCATCCCAACCTCTTTCCCCACCCTAGGCCCTCACTGCCCTTCTCTGTCCTGTTCTGTGCCTAAGGATGCCAAGGATGCCAAGGGCTGAGTCTCTCCTGGCTGTCCTGCTAGCTGGGGGTTCAGTCAATGAGAGGCAGCAGCAGAAATCTTAAGGCTGGAGGAGTGTTTCTCCCCACTCCCTGACTGCTTTGATGCTACACCTCTAGCAGTCTCTCCATCACTGCACAGCATCTCTAGCCAGCCCTTCCTTATAATTTCAGTTCCCAATGGGCTCCAGGAACTCTCTACTTTGCTTTCTCAGCCCTACAGGTATAATGGCTTGCTACTGAACTTTTACTGGCATTTGGTGCCTCACCAACCCTTATCATGTTCTAACCTTTCCCATAACTTTGATGGAGGCAGAGTCTCCATGGAAGTCTCTTCATCTGAACCATGTGAGATGAATTCTGTAGCAGGACCCTGACTGAAATACATCACTCTCAAATCAGATTTCCTCTCTTAAATATCTCTCTAACAACCAGACGGCTCCTTGAACATCATATTTAAAGTAAAGAAGAGTATCCCATTAAGAATCAGAATAACTGGATATTAGTAGTGTTATCTATGGCAAAACACTTCAGTTCACTGAACCACAGGTTGAGTTGTTGTAAAATGAGGACAATGCGTTCTTCCCCAACTGCCTCACACAATTCTGTAATATCATTAATCATGAATAAATTACACAATATAAAGTGCTAACAAAGTAATGTAATATTAAAAGTTACAGAAGAAAGAAACAAAATAGCAATGTTTGGCAGTTGGTTCCTATGGGACAGATGAGAAAAGTAATGATTAGGGAAAGAAAGCACTGAATACAAACTATGATCCCATGATTACGTTGCATTTTCTAATCCCTAGGAAGCAGGTGGAAGGACAGAGCCTGCGGTGTGCGGTGGGGAAAATGTTACAGAGGCTTGACAAGGAGAGAGCTGAGAACAGCCCTGCCCAACATCAGATGACAGACAACCTCCCCACAACGGATCAGGGTTTAGGGATGTCAGTACATCAACAGAAACTCTATCAGGTCCTCCACAGAAAAATTATCAAAGCTTTCCAACAGTCCTGATACACTTCAGAGCAGACTATAGTAACTGGTCTCATCCACAAATGTACAAAGGGGTCAATAAAATGGGCTCAGTTGGTTCATAGTGACAGCATCACTCACAGTCACCACCAGTTGGTCACATCTAACCAAACACAATTGAAAACAAAATCATCCTAACTCCTCCTCCCCAAAGGGAAGCAATGAAGTGCACAGTAGCTGATAGAGAATTCTGATTCACCAGGATGCCAAAAAAAAAAAAGAGTAGTACCCTCCCCAAACTATTCTTTTTACTTTCCTCAAAGGTGAGAGATAGCTAATAGGGATGCATAGGGGTAAAACCCAAAGGAAAATGTAAACCCAATAACTTAACTGATCACAGACTATGCCAAACATATCTTAGATGAATGTTTTCTATTATTTAATGTGCTTCAAAGATTTAACAGAGTGAGACAGGATGAAAAAGCATTTTCAGAACTTATTATGATGCTACTTTTAGGCCTGGTATAACTGACAAGATCTTAACAAGTAAGACAAAAACAGTTGGAATAATTACCCTTCGAGCTGGAAGGTTCCCTGCCAGTTCACTGACTCTTGATTTTCTTTGATTTGCCAGTTCTTTGACAGAATTAACCCCATCAGAAAACATACTTATTAATAGTTGAAGTGGAACCATGATGTCTAATTCCGATAACACCTGGGGAAAAAAGGCATATATCCCCCCAAAATATAAACTTTAAAACTCAAAAAAAATTACACTTAACATTTTTTTTCCAAAGTGAACTGTTGAACATAAGGACATATAGCCTTACACATAGTCTATCAGCACAGTCGTCCTCAATTACTTATACCAAAAAATCAGTTATCACTGAACCTTCCCTCTTCCCCACTCCCCAAATCCAATAAATAGCACGGTTTTTCTATTAAAATTTGTATCTTCTGACCCCATGCCCTCCTTACCATACCACTGCAAGTGCCTCAGTTCATCACCTTTCTCCTGGGCTAGCACAATCTACGAGCAATCACCTCCTGCCCACCCCTACTCTGATCTAAATGCCCCACCTGGTCTGGCTCTCGTGCAAGCTCAGGTAGCCTGCTGCCAAAATCAAGTTACCTTGTCTGTAATGAATCTTCTGGAAATAGATGCCACCCTCCTTCAGACAGAATTAATCTATCCCTCTTCTCTGCTTTCTTAGAACTTTGTACATACCTTTATTAGAGCAATTATCACTTTCATTATATTTGATTATCTAATACTATCTCTCCCACTGTGAGCTCCTTGAAGAAAGGAAGTATGAGGGAAAGACCTTTTCTTATCCCATTTCTATCCCAGTGCCTATCATAGCACCTAGTGGAAGAGCTCTAAAACTGTTTTCACAATTAATCAATGAGTCGATACCAAATCACTGTACTACTCATTTTATTCCCCAAATGGTTAGACCAGTGGTTTAATATCTCCTTCAGCTGCACCACAAACTCTCTTCAAACCAAAACTGTGTTAAAGCCCAGCCCATAAAGCATGTAAGTGTTCCAGTTCTGGCGAGGATAGAGGCTCACAGCCTGTCTGCTCACCCGCTGCCTCAGACGGCACAGTTTAAAGGGTATGTAACTGAACAAAAACTTATAGCCATCTGTAGGGCTGGCTTTCCTAAAATGAGAAATTATCTTATTGAGATCTTACTTGGGTCCCAAAGTTAAAATTCTAGGTCCCAAAGGAGACTTTTAAAAAAAATGGTCCCTTTGCTAACTGTCAGTTGTGAAAAATATTGTCCCTTAGGTTAGAACCCAGAAAGGCATCTCCACAACTTATAAAGCTTGGGAGATTACATCCATCTATGATACAGCAAAGTATCTGCACCCATAGCTAATTTACATACTGATTCTATCCTCCTTTTCTGAAGTTTCCCAAACTTTATATCAGGCATTCAACTTAATTTAATAAACTTTAAGAACAACCACTAAATGAAAAGTATATGCCACATGTTACGAAGAAAGGATAAAGGAAGCTAGAAATTCAAAAATGAAAAACACCTGTTCCACACTCAAGGCATTTTTAATCAGGAGAAGAGACAAAAATGTGCTATATTATTAGACAGAATGAGAATTTACACAAAGAATACTGGGGAAAGGAATAATGAATTCTGATGGGAAGATGGGGTGTAAAGTAGCAGAAAACTTCATAGATGAAGTGAGGTCATTTTTGAGTTGAACTTTCAAGGTTAAGATGGAGTTCACAAATGGAGACAGGAAAGAAAGTCATTCTAGGCTGAGGGAACAGCATGAACTCCTTACTCCCTAAATCTGTAACTCTCAACTTTTTCAAGTACAGGACCTATTTAATATCAAAAGGTTTATCAATTCCACACAACAGCTATTCTACTTTTAGTGTCTATTGACAGCAAAACATAAGGAACAAAGGCCAGTATGAAATCAGTCATAGTATTACATTAATTTGTATTTTATTAACAACTAATGCTACAAATATTTGAAATACAGCTATTTACCTGTGCAAATGAATAACTAGTCTACAGACAGTCCCCAGCAAACATATGGATGTATGGACTCTTTGCAATAACTGCCTGTCCCTCTACCCGGGGGTCTAAAGTTCATAGGCTAAGAACTATTTCCCAAAATGATGGAAAGTATCATTCACTTACATGAAGCCAGAGTAAAGCTTGTTCCTGCACAGAGGAAGGGTATCCTGTGAACCGACAACTAATAAAGCCAAACATCTCTTCCATTGAAAAAGGTAGAGGACAGAGTTCAATGTCAAACATTTTGCTGTAAGCAGAGCAACAAAAGTGAATGACCAGTGAGCATATATTAGGGTCTGCTGTTGCGTTTCTAATTATATCTTATTTGGGGACCCAAACACTTTAGTAACGTTCTGAACTGTTTTGCTGTAGTAGCTTATATCATTGTAACAGATATAAAGAATTCATATGGTTATAAATAGCATTAGTGTTCATACTCATACAAGGTTTAACAGAAGGAATTGCATTTCTAAGGAATTAGACTTGCTCCCCAGCATCCAAAAACTTCCCTTCGCACATTTCCCACTTTATCCAAATCATAATTGTACTTGAAAATAAGCAAACAAAATGGTGTATTTATATATTATTCTACATGAATAAAATCTTCTCTGAACAATTTCAAATCATCGTGGCATGATTTAGAGCAACTATTTCATTTTGCACCTTCAAATTTCTCTATATGGTTGTTAAAAAGTAAATGAGATTATAGAAATTGCTTAGCACAGGTCCTGGCACACAGTAAGTGCTCAATAAATGTTAAATATCATTATAATTACTGTGACTTCATTAAACTACTTACCCAC